CCATCTCCACCATCATCAGAGCCAGTAGGAACCTTCCATCCAAATGCAGATGACATTTCTGCGGCAACTGATAAAATCCAAGATTGAATTGGAAGATATGTTTTTCCACTAATATCAGGTTCTACAAACAACAAGCGAGATCTGGCCCAAAAGACAGCTTTGGAAAATGACAATGGAAGAACGGTGGGATCAATTTCAACCAAAACATCAGTCCATAACATGGGGATGCACATCCATCCTCTATATTCCCGAGAAACAACCATATTTTGTGAACTGAAAGCACCCCATGCACCAAATTCCTCCTCCTCTACACCACATGGAATAAATGCCAGCCCGTCATCATCTTCAGCATCATTCAACGTGATTGCACTGCTACGAATACTTGGACGTGTGTTAAAACTTAAGGCTGATGATATTAAGGCAGCAGCATCAGAGACCATGATAGTTTGAATGAGATCAAGGGCAGGTTGCCGCAGAGAAGGATGAAGAGAAGAATCCTTTAAAGACGACAAAAGAGAGGGACCCCTGTCCAGTTCAGTAGTTTCAGAAATGAGCAATATTATCCTTCTTCCTTGTACATGTCAAAAATTCCAAACTATGAGATTGAACACTAAAGGTCCATTCACAGTAAATAGAGTTCATTGGGCAAAAAACGAGGGATGAGTAAAGCCAATACACCTCCATGATGAAATATTTGAATCTACTAAACGATCATTTGTGAAATAAAAGCTCAATCTCTGGTAAGAATGCCTAAACTCGACAGCCAATTATCTCTCAAGATGCAGTCCTCATCATTTTCTCTTAGTGTGCATAGAGCAAAATGCATAAGAAAATCAATAAGAAAAGGGAAAAGAGCACAGATATAGGTAGATAGTCGTACTTACCACATATGTGAACATTCAAAAGGGGGAGAAGGTGGATTCATCTTGTAACCTCTGTGTATGATGAGAAAAGCTATCTGAAAAACACGAGATTGTATAAGTAACAAGAAAGATCGGCCCATTAAACAGCAATAGATAAAACCAAACAAGTGCGCCTGAACTTATAGAAGAATATGTACCTGGCGAGCTTTCTGTCTAGTGAGAACACTGAAGTTGCTGCTAACTGGCACTTGATGGAGAAGAAAATAAAGAAAATTCCTTCTTTGCTTTTCAAGCTCACCATCTTGCCAAGCTTCAAGAGACTGGAGAAGTCATAGTTTACCCATCACAGACATCAGCACTTGAAAGTAAAAAAAAGTAATGAAAGAAAGAACAAGAGATATATGCATGCCTGTAAAAGCGGCTGGAAAAGTTCAAAGATATCCTTATGAATTTTCTCATTACGAGAATGGAAACACTGCCCAACAAGTGTGCTTCGCATGATGCTTGGAGATAAAGCAGACCTCAACCAAAGCCTACAACCTTAAAGCAACACCAAATGTGCAAAGGTGGAGAACTATGAGACTCCTATAACGGCAACAATGTTGCTTTTGTACCTTAAAAGGACAAATCAAAAGAAAGCAACAAACCAAGCATTTCAAAGAGAAGCTTCAAGCAAGTGACCGCATGAGAGAATACAGGAGAATCACTGGAGACTTGGTTAAGAACAACATCAAGAAAAATAGGATAGGACTCCAATATCCCTTCTTCCAATGCTGGAGGCTCTAGACAACCCATCCTTCAAAATTAGAAATAAAAAATCAGAGAGCAAACAAAGAGACTTAAAATGCCTAACTATATAAAACTTCAGCACCCCAACCTACAATGATTTAATCCCAATCCATGCAGCAGAACGGTCAAGCTCCGATCTTGGCCTTAAATTTTCACTGGTCGATGGCACCACTTCAGTTTCCAAGAACCCAATGAATTTCTTAAGCAACTGCTGCAAAGGTTCCAAGTCCGCAGCTCTCCTATTCACAAACAAAGAACCATTTATAGATGGAACACTTTCAGAGTCAAGTATTCTTATCAGTAGTAAATCAATATGTAACTGATAGGTTGAGTATATTTTCAGAAGATAGTTCACTGCTTTGCAGTGTTGACAAAACTCATCTTAATAACCCGTATAGAGCTTGTATACTTTTTAACTGTAGCGAAGGCTCCAAGTAATAAAAAGAAAGGAACGATGAACCTAAGTTTAAACGATCATGCGAATTGCCACAATAGTGAACGTCAAATAAAATGAAGAAAAACAAACGATCATGTCAACCGTTGTATAACAGGCAAGCCTTCACAAGTAAAGCAATTTTTAGCAAAACTCTTCGAGGCATTACTAAGTTCCACAAGAATTTAACAGCAACAAGAATCATACTCTAAGCAACAATCAGCAGCCTTGAGAGGTCGACTTCACAAAAGAAGTAGAAAGCCGATCATCGGAACATTGAAACAAACAAGATGACAAAGCAAAAGCCAACAATTCAGAACATTCAACCTTCTTTCTGAAAATCAGAGTGAACAAAGGACCTCAACCTTCATTCGGAAAGAACAAATTAACAGATACATGCTAATCATATCACCAAAAGAAAATTGCAAAGCACTAAGCCTCGACTTAAGTTAAATAATGATACGAAAAGGCAGATTGGAAGACAGCAAATATACCTCAGTTTACCCATGGATTCAGCTAATCGATGAGCGACAAAACGCACTCTTCGCTTGAAAAAGAACAACGCGTACACGCCCTAACAGAGCAGTCATTTTAAAATGTATAAAAAGCCATCATAACACCGATAAATTGCCAGGAAGGAGAAGACAAGTGGAGTAAAATGTACCGGAAACTGTTGGTTTCTATCCAACGCCAATTCATGGACATTGTCAATAGCTTCAATGAAAGCTTCAAATTCAGAGAACAATGACTTATCATCGAGCAGAACAGGATACATTAGAACCTGAAATGTCATTAACAGGAAAGACATGACATGAAGATATGTTCACTTGGAAGTTTAAGGAAGATGAATGCACAAAGGATATTGACTTGATCAAACCCAATTTTAGGAAGACTACCAAATGGTGCTTGTCCACCACCAGCAATCAATTGTTTAACTTATCTAAACCAAACATAACTGCCACAATATTACCGAATAACAACAAAGCACCCAAAGCTGTAAATTCTGATTGGAAGATTAGTCATCCCCATGCAGCATGCCATTACATACCTCATACATGACGCTAACAACTTCTGCATTATCATGTGCAGGGAAGCAGTCTTTCTTTGCCATTCTTTCATTAATCTCTCTCAAGTGTTGAGTCACTCGTTCTTCATCCAGACTCTGCAACACATCAAGAAGTGGACCAATTGAACTTGGCTCATACTCCGTTCTATACATCTCGAGGGCTTGATGATGCTGAGAAATGCAACGGATGCATGTCTTCATCTCCTCAGAGATTCTTTTCCATAGAAGTCTGAGAGGAGAATCTTGGCGCTCATCCTTAAAGTAATTGTAGAACGTCTCCAGCAAAGGCCCCATTAGATCCCACGAATCGCACCAAATGTGAGTTTCTTTTGGCAAACAGATCAAAAAGTTAAATGCATCCACAAACCTGGCATCATCAAAAAGTTAGAGATTTTTCCCGAGAAGTTACCCCCTGTACAGTAATGATATACTGCAGTTCTTCCAAGCCTTAATGGGCAAATGTCAACGTCTTACCAGGCAAAACATCTCATTAAGTTCGACATCTCACTGAGTTTGACGCACTCAAAAACAAGCGAAACAAGAATAAGAACTTAGTTTGACAATGATCAGCATCACTACAGTAGGCTAACGGAAGTTTGAAGACGCGACATGTTCTTACGGTCAACTTCATTTTTACCCGCTAAATCAGCTACAAAGAATCGATTCTTTATCTTCTTCCCCACCTTGATTCTAAGCACAAACACCGAAAATCCTTTCGACAATGAAAGCCCAAAAAAATCAGCATAATCAGCCGGATGATGGCCGTGATTCATGGAGGATAACAACACAAACAAATAATGATCTTCCTGCACATTGAAGTGATTATTCTTTATAATTTCTTCACCCCTAGAAACGGAATCAAACGTCGTAAGTGGGAGTCCAACACTGATCGCGCATGCATTTAATCGCGAGGGCGGTTGCGATCGTCGATTGAGCTAATCGTTCAGACGGAGGACCAAATAGAACGAATCGTAATATAGGGAGTGCGAGGTTGATGTGGGATTGGGAGAAGGTGAAGAACCCACCATTGCTCTTTCAACTGGTGAACGCGAAGTTGGTCGAAGCCGGAAGCCCCATTCTCTCCCTCCCTCTCTCCTTCTTCCTCTTCCTGTTCCTCGATGTTCCGCCATCGCTCCAACAAATCCCGCCGACCCCCGATCCTCCGAGACATCCCTCTAATGGTTCCCGCTCTTCCGGCGACACGACGGCGGCGACCGCAGCAATGCGCCTGATTCCTTCCTCCACTCCCTCTTATCGATGGCAGGACAGAGGAACGCTAGGGTTTTGCGATTCAACTCTCTCTCTCTCTCTCTCTCTCTCTCTGTCTCCCTCTCTCTCTCTCTCTCTCTCTGTTCCTGCTTCAAGAATCGCGCCAAAATGGACCGAGCTTGATCCCAAGAGGACTCTATGAATTGCCCGCCAAAGAGAGCTCCTTTTTATATGAGACGCACTCCCGCTCGCTGCAAGGACCGACCTTTCCTTGTCCCTCTTGGGCTGGCGCGAGAAAGTCGTGGCCTTTCACTTACATGTCCGAATCGACAGCATAAGATTGCTTTTAGTCTCCAAGATTGCATGCTCGATTTTGAATCTCGATCCCGACGCCGCCTTTTTTACATTTGAGACCCGTGCGGTAGCCTGATCGTTATGTTATCGCACTAAATGAAGTTGGTGTTATATGTGTTGTTTCACTTCAATGAGCTCGATCGCGATCCGTCGAGACTTAGAATCTTTTGGTTCCTACATGCATATTACCAAATTTTCGGGTTGCTGACAAGAGATAGCGCATCTCCTTTCCCTGTTATTTGAGATGCCATGTAGTGCTGCTCATCAAGCCTATTCTAACATGATCAAAACTCTGAAATGAATGAATAACCGAAATGCCTTCATACAATCCCATTGCACCGGGCAGTCCAAAACGCCGGCTTATTTTACAGATGGGGCTAGGAGCACGAGCGAAGCTTGCACCTAGCTTGCGTCGTGTGTCTATACGCCCCAATCGGTATCCTAGCACCTCCTCACACTAGATAAGAGGACATGAGATTCCAACTGATTTTCATGTGCGAAGGCATTGGCGCCACGAATCGCAGCATGTGGGACTTGGAGCTGAGCACGGGATGGGGGGCTTCCGACTTCTGATCCAGAAACTCCTGGAACTTGACTATGTTGGGAAGCACGAGCTCTCTGCAGTGCAGATGCAGCAAGGGAACCTTTGACAGGACACTTCCCTTCTGAACGTCCAACCCTTCAGGCCTCCGCATCTTGTATGGTTTCCCCGTGGAAGGCTCGATATCGACTCTCGGCATTTGCTTCCATCTCTGGTGCACAAACCACCCATACTTGTAGTCGCCCACTATCGGAGTACCAAGTGCTTCGGCACAGTGAACGCGAATCTGCGAGGAAACATTTGGCATGATGTTACTGAGTTCATGGTGTAACTATTTTTCTGAAGTGCAATCTTTCGCCTTCAACAGTTAATTAGGAAGTAAGCTAATCTGTCCTTGTATTTGTGCCTTTCAACTGGGAACAATAAATAGAACAGTCTATAAACAAGTGCAGTGAAGACACCAATTATATATTTTCCCAAAAACGAAATATAGGCGTTCTTGGACAAGGGCGATATGGTCCAATAAAGTCTCGGACAAATGTTTTATTATATCTTTCAAAAAAGGCAAATTTATTTCCCAAATAAGGGGAAGTTCTGTCGAGCCGAACTATAAAGGCTGACAGATATGCGCAGACCAGGAATCAAATGGAATCCTCTAAACAATGACATTAGTTTTACCTGATGCTTGCGGCTCGTATGAGGACATAATTCTATCCAGGAACATCCATTTACTGTAGGACCCAATACCCTGTATTCTGTCACTGCTTCTTGAAAAGCTTCTAAGCCTGAGTTATGAGCCAAAATAACTCTCTCGGTTTTCCCATCATCAAGGAGCACCTTAAGTTCAAAACAGATAAGATATCTGCATCAGTACACGCCACCTGAAAAACTGCATATCCTAATAGAGAGAGAGAGAGAGAGAGAGAGAGAGAGAGAGAGAGAGACCTTTGAAAGGGGAGCACAAATAAGACCTTCTTTTTCCTTAGGAGAGCCTATGACAAGCGCCCAATATCTTTGATAAGTAGCTTTACATGCATCATTCCAGGCCTAGAAGACCTCATAAAATCAGATGTCAACAAAAAATATGATATGGGTATAATCTGTTCCATGGAAGATCCACCATTTACCCGCCAACATCAAACTTCTCTTGCATAAGGTAACACCACAAGCCTTTACCTTAAAGGAGGAATCTTTTTTGTTTATGTCGGTAAACAGCCATTGAAGATGAGCCACACTTTCCTTTGTTCTTCCCATCAAGAGAAGACCACTGGTCTCTCTGTCAAGGCGATGCACCTGATGAAGATTTTTTTACATGAGAACAAGAAAAGATTGGCCCCTGAGGAAAGTAAGATGGACATTCTGTAATGCCACATGCACTGCATTCAAAATCTCATTCGATAAGCACCACTTCTGACAGTATAATCAAGGCTCTCAAGAAGGATGATCTGTTTAATCTGTAACAGTAGGTAACTTCCTCGAGTAACAGAATATACCCTCCTGAATTCAACACAATGGAATAGCAGTAAAATGCTAGGCTAAAAGTTCCACTGTCCGCAGGTGCACCTAAAGGCCACATTTGGTATGTGAAAAATTTCAATTTTCTGTTTTCATTTAAAAATTCTCACTAAAAAACTGTTTGGTTAGAATTATTCTCAAAGATTTTAGCCTTAGAAATGATAACAACTGAAAACTGCCAAAATCCTTTTTCAGTGTTTTCTCTTCATCTTGAAACACGGGAAGTAACATCAACTTTGGACATCTTTCCTCAAACACCAATTCATTTCTTCTCAGATCATTGCAGTCCACCTACAACTCTTCATCTTCGTTGTTCAACTAAACTAAGTTGAAGAAGAGTTTTCACCAACTCCGTTTTTCTCACTCAAAAGCAAGGAGAAAGCATAAATTGGTGAGAGCACGAATACAAGTTGGTTCACAGAGGAAGGATTAAAAGTGAATTGAGCGATACTGAAGCTTCAAATGTCTAATGGTCTCTCCTCTGTTACAATGGAGCAGCGTTTTTGAAGATTCAAGGAAGCTTCCTCTTATTCTCTTAAAACATTAAATACAAGGAAAGACCAACTTCATACAAGGAGAAATAATTCATTTAACATATTTTCAATACAAAATTTGTATATCGTTAGTTTTGGTCAGGTTTTTCAACTGAGGCTCATAAAAATTTTAGCATAGTGAAGGTCATGACTAATAGGAAGTTCTATTCAATAAATATGTTCAGTATAATATGATAATTCATTGCCAACTCAGTATGATTTATATAGAGAGTAGATATGATGTAATTAGTTTCTTTTATATGAAGGATTAGTAAGAACCAAATGTATTTTCAGAATTTTCATTTCTACAAAACATTCTCAATTTTAGGTACCAAACACGATTTCAAGTAAACAGAAAAATGAAAATTAAACACGATTTCATGAAAACAGAAATATTGGGCTCTAAGGTTTTGCAGGACAGCAAAAAAAGTCAATTATATGTCTTTGATGGGGTGTCTAACCTTAGTTTTGAGATGTAAAAGTGTAAAAGTGTAGTAACCCATCAGCTGTTGAAGATTTTCTTTTTAGCAATCAGCTTTTGGAGTTTTGAATGTATCCACTTTCAACTTATCAAAGGAGGGAAAGAAAAGCTGTTGGCCAAAATGTACTTCAGAGTCCAGGCGTGAAAAACATATAGATGACAGAAAGGGAAGAACTGAGAAGTATCATGCAGAAGATACTGATAAAACTTGGCATAAACAAGCGCACACGCCTAAAAGATCGAAAACAACCGAAAACTTAGTTACCAATTTAGGACCCTCATCATAGTCATAAGACAAAGCTGCCGCTGCCAAAGCATCCATGCTGTTATGAACTGGCAAATTCCCCTATAAACGAAGAAATCATGGAGATAAAATATTGCACTAAACATGACAAAAATTATTAGGGAAAAAGAAAAGAATAACAACCACCGACAAAGTACTAACCTTGACTGGCAATTTTGGGGGCTTATTAAGCACAATAACCGCGGAGTCCTGAAAATTAGCAGCTACCAAATGAAAATTGCAAAAATCTTTGAGAAGACAACAACAAAAGAAATTAGAACATCCCCAAGTCTAATTCACGGTTAGATATGCAGTAAACCGCTAAACAGCTAAACAAACTTTCTACCAGACCAGCTAGAAGCAGCAAACAGGAGATGTCCAAATGCTGTCTATTGGGGATCAAAAGCTTGGTTGAATATGACAGACGCCCCCTGTGGAGATCAGACACTGCAAAAGGGGAAGGACTTGAAAGACTTGCCTTGTACATGACGAGCCTCTGCAAGTACTCTATCTCATCGGCATTAGGATAGAGAGTCCCACTAGGTATCGTGTTGAATCGCCTGGAGATCCTTGATTCGGCAACTGATACAGGTATATACAATCTGGCCCCTGCTTCCATCACTTCATTTGGCTTGATCTGCAAGTCAGCTGTATGATTGTAGTAGATAAAACTTCAAAACTCGCATAAAAACTGTCGATGCCACACGCACAGTTAACATGCACAAAATAATGTTCCACACAAAGCACACCAGATATTTGACTTCACAAAGAAGACTCCAAAGCAACAAAAGAATTCAAAAAAAAAAAAATGTAACTTGGCTGAGTAGGATGCTACAATAGAGAAGTTACATTGTGGAAAATACCTTTCTCAAGGATTTTCTTTTTCCTTGCGGTCCCAGGCATGAGTCATCCAAGTTGGCGCATCCCATCTGAACCTGAAAATGGCAAAAGAAGCAAACTTTATCCATGGAAAACAGAGAAACGAAAAGAACGAGAAAATTCGTCTGACATGAAAAAATGGGTAACTTCGAAAGTGGGGGAGAGAACAGACAAGGCCCTTGTTGAAATGGGATTGAACGACGGAGTTGTGAACGCCATGGAAGTAATACTTGACCCAGCTGATTGCAGTCACTCGCAATGAAGAAGAAGAAGAAGAAGAAGAAGAAGAAGAAGGAGAGGCTTCATTGAAAGAGAAGGCGGGCAGAGGGCGAGAAGGGAAAGGGGGAAGCGACAGCAGCTGGCGTGGCTTCGGCCCCTCCTTCGGCTCCCCATGGCCCACGCTCGCTACGTGGTTCTTCAACCTTATCGCCGTCGCCTGCGGCGGCGACGCCCTCGAGTAGCGCCTCCTCGCCGCCGCCGCCGCCGCCGCCAAACACGCCGCCGACCGCCGTCGCGGCGAGGGGTGGTTCCACATAGGGGACACGGCTAGCAGCGCAAGACGAGGGCCCCGCAGCCCGTCCGCGAGCGCCGGCGTCGGAGCAGTTTTGGGAGGGCGAGGAGACGCTAAGCCGGCGTCGAGACTCCCAACGAAGGCCTCCTCGAAAAGTTGTCGTCGCCCTGCCTTGTCTCTGCCACGTCAGCGTCTCGTCGGAACTGACCCGATTTGCTTACAAGCTAGTTGGAAGCTGATATTACTAGTGCATTCGAGTAATTTATATGTCTCGCGCGAAGAATTTAGTGCATTCGAGATAATTTATATGTCTCCTGCGAAGGATCGAATGTCCAAATTAAATTAAGCGTAATATAATTGGTAATGAAAATGCGATTTGCCATACTATCTTTGAAATGATCTATCGAAAAAAGGTTCACACCGGTTCAGATCGAATTGGCGGAAATTAACTTCTAACTCCTAGAGAGGGTTTCCGATCCAAAAAAAAAAAAAGAAAATTCCTACAGAGGGCACGAGGAGAGTCTCTCTCGGAGTTCTTTAAATGAGATTTCCCTTGGAAATTAACTCTTTAAGAACTTTGTAAAACTGAAAAATAAAACTGAAAAGAATATGTTCTAAACACTACGTTTTAAGGAAATAAACTTAGGTTCATCATTCAACGGTGAGTTCTAGAGTCAAAACGTCATTCTGCTGATGATACCATACCAAATATTATGAGCAATGAGCCAAGACACTCCCCCTGCTTCCCGGACAACAAATTCGCAGAGCGGCCGAGGCTCGTCGCCAATAGAGAAAGCAAGAAAGATTTCGCACGCTTTCCATGACACATCAAGAGACGCAACATCCCCAGTGCTGAACTCGATTGTCCAAGAAAATGAACTAAGATACAATAGATAAGAGTATGTCTAAAGATCGGATGTTGGTTGAGACACAGTTGGACATCGAACAGAGGAATGCGTGGAAGGAAGGACAATTGCATCGCATACCGACAAAGTAGTCGAATCAAACCGTTTCGGGAAGAGAGGACGGAGAAGAAAGATCATTAAACTTGGCGCTATACCAGAAGCACAATCATCATATATGCCAATATATACACCTGAAGAGAGATTCTTCATAATTACCCATTTCCAAGTGGTACCATTATTCGAATCCTAATTACAGCACACCATGCTTTGACCTATGTACATATGCACATAAATACAGTTAGTCCTACAATCCATAACAATCGAAAGCATTCTAAAGCCTGGAACTCTGCTTTTCCTCGTTAAATTGTTCCTCGGTTGTCTTTTGGGCTTATACGTCAATAAGTTCATCTGCCGGAACATCTAGCAAAGAACACGCTCGCAATCCACCTCCCGAGTTTCAAAGCCCAACCTGCATTCAGATATCTTCACGCAAAGGGTACAGAACCCTAGAGCGGAACAAAGTTTTGAACGCTTCATCAGGAACTGCTTGGCTCCAAGGCTAGGCCATCTGCGAGGTTAATAATCCACATTACACTACATATACAGCTGCCTAGATGCTTATGAGTTCACACTTGCATGCGAAAGCTCAAAGACAGATTACGCCTTCTGACCATGTTTCCTTTTAACAGAAATTTCCTAGGATGTCGGTTTATCCAATGCCTACACAGAAAGAGAGTTCTGACAATATGATATGCCAATATGGCACCATCAGACTCCAAACAGACAAGCAACCGTTCGACAGCTCAAATTTCCATTTATGTAATGCACACTCCAGGAAAGAGCTAATAAAGGCAAAGATTCATTTTCCCAACGCAGAATCACAACCACAGAGTACTACAAACTAACGGTTGAACTTGAACACACTAAATATTCTTGACCATCAATCCCTTCCTCCAAGTAATTATTTCTAATGAACAATATCTTATCTTTTTAGTTTAGTAAAGAAAAAATATTCATCGGCATTTTCTTTATTGGCATGAGACTGGAACAAAGAGCGAATTCTGGAAGAGGGGGGAGGTTGCATGGAGCAGACAACGTTTAAAGAGAAATTTTTCTAGAGGGGGAATGAAAACACTATCATAAAAAATAAAGAGCAAGACTGGTAAAGATAACATGAGCAAGAGTGCTTCTACAAATGAGGGACAGTGGCCAAGGGATGGTTCCATCCCCACCCTAGCCTCTCTGCTTGGGATAAGTTCCTTATCCTACTGGCCCCAGTTCACCTTAAAAAATAAGGGACCATAACTGCCACTGGAGAGGGCAACTGCCCACAATGCAAATCAAACATCATAAGGTCGCGTAGTAAAGAAACCCACAGCCTATAAATCATATTAAGGAGCAGATCACCTACTTTTCAAAGACCCCATTACATAGAAGAACAATATTTGTCACGGTGATTTATGCACAAATTGGCCGATTGCCAGTAGGAACATCAAAAAAAAAATTAACGTACCTTCGCCTGATAGCTGCTCGAATCGAGCAACTATGTGCTTCCCATAAGTATATTTCTTCAAGGCATGAAGATGAACCTTTATCCGACTAAGCAGAATTTCCCGATGCTTATCATTGCTAACTTCAAGAATCTTCTGAACCACATAATTTGCATACTGGTCCTTCATCATTGCCTGAACATAAGTTACTTGTCAAGGACTTAGAGAAGATCATACGCTTTCGTGAAATTTTGTGTGGATTGTTTGAGCTATTAGACAAAGGCGTAGCTTAATATGAAAATAATTTTTACACTCCCCCTCAAGACTGGAATTTGACCTTAAGAGTAAAGCCTGGAAATATATAATCGGGGGGCAAAATTTTCACATGAAAAGATTTGAACTCAAGACCTCCTATTCTGAAACAATAGGAAATTTTGTGGTATCACATCCAAATGTTCCAAAAAACTTTAGCTATTAGATTAAGGCATGATTTAACATTTAAATATACTTTAAAAGCTTCACATTTGGAATAATGACATCAACTTTCTGCAAATCTTGTGAAGTAAAACAAATCTCATCCTAGTTGTCAAATATTTTCACATGCGTATTAAGAAAAAATAATGTTTACAATAATGAAACACAGGGTTTCAGAAATATTGATTGCAACAGATATTAAAAAGCACAATAAAACTTCAATGACACTGCTTGCACTTTTATGAAATTGGATTGTCAACTACCAAAAAACTTTGATGGTCATCCCTGTTTTAAAATGTCTTTTGTCCTATCATAGGTAGAGGGTTGACCCCTATTGAATTAGGAACTCCAAGAAGGGGTTGAACCATGTTGAGGGGGTCAACCCTAAAGGCACTGATCCCCAAAGACCTAGAATTGGCACCTTCAAGTAAGATGAGCTGATCCTTTTGATTAGGCTGACCCGTTTTGCTAAGGAATCAATTAGGGGGTACCCCTCTTGAAAATTGGTTGATCACCCACCTTTGACTGGGGATGCACAGAAGACTATTACTATTCCTCGAAGTTTACCACAGTACATGAAGTATACACCCCCATAAAAATGAAAAAAAAGACCCCAACAGTTTCGAAAATGGAGAATGAAATAGGATTGAAAGATGCAAAGTTGAAACAGGTTTAGCGCTGCCATAGCAAATATAAAATTTTGTCAATGAAGTGCCATTGCAAATATAAAATTTGCTTTAATGAAGTGCCACTGCAAATATAAGATGAGTTCTCACAGCATTTTAACGAAAATACCAAAGTTTACGTACCAACAGATTGTCATTTTCCTCAGATTGTCCAATGATTTCCTCAACTAACAGTTCCCTTTCAGCAGCATCACCGTGTTCTAAGCACTTCTCAACCACATTTGATGCATATTTGTGCTGACTCAGTGGGACAACGTTACCAGTCAACTTGCTGATAATTCGGCTTCTCTCTTGGGGTTTCCCCCTCTCCAAAACATGCTGTAAACAGTAGAAGGAACCTAGTCTGTAAGCCGTAAATATAGGAAATGTTGAACAGTGAAAAGAAGAAATATGAATTCTAAACACTTACAAGGAAAAAATAATGAGCAATCTCAATTTCAGGTTTAAAAAAACCATGGATAGGCAATGAAATCTGCAGGGACTTCAAGCTTGCAGAAAAAGAACCGTGCCATTCAAACTAACCACTACAGAAAATCAGTAGAACCTTTTCTGGCTAAAAAGTGAACTATCTTAACTTGTAGCCAAAATTATAACTTCGATGCTAGTCACAACATGGAAAAGGAGACCACAGGAGAACCTACAAAGCTGATTTCTAATCAATTCCAAAAGAGGACCCCAGCAAAAAGGACTCACTTCAGGGTCTGTCATAAAGTAAATCTGAACACCAAAATGGTGAACCACAACTATCGACACTGCAATACATATAAACAATGACAAAACTTGTTTGGAAAGTTCAACAATCCAAAGCTTTTCTTTGAGAATTAAGAACGCATCACGCTGAGATTACATCCCTTGTTCCATAGATGAGTCACCAAAATAGGGACGTAAAGCACCATACTTCTTCAAGTGCTGAGAAATATTCAATCCCTGTCAATCAAATGGAACCACCCCAACGGCACGGGGGAATAAAGAACAAAAGTTGCAATTGATGTAACCACTAACACCTACTGCCAAAAAATTTACATGTCCAGAAACTCGGAAAACAAGATGTCATCAGTACCGAGTACCCAGATATAAGACCTCGGCAAATATTTAAGTCCACTAACTTACGTCCACTAGAGATGCCATCCCCTCCCCATCAATTAATGCTTCAGACAAGCTGCCTCAACATGGCAATATCATACAAAAACCGACACTGGAGCTCAAAACTTCTTTAGACTATATAAATTTGCAACTTCACTCTGCTCTATAAAACAAACTTAACCCATCAATGCCCAAAGACAAAAAATTGCAATTTTAGGAATTATACTACCTACCATGGCCCTCCCACCCACCTGAAAAGGAGAGAAAAATATTTCCACTGCTCTCTTCTCGTGTGTTGCTGTCAACTTTTCTATGATCTTTGTACAAAGAACACGATGAAGCGCCAAGTCTCCAATGATCGAATTAAAAAAAAAAAGGTATGAAAGCTGAATAAGACTCGATGACTATTATCCGGTAGCAGAGATGGAAATAGAAACCACCTAGACCCACCAGCCGCTAAGATTATTTTGACAACAAATCCTATATTTATCCTTTGCAACTAATGGAAAGAGGATGAGGATGTGTCCTTAGATTGGGTGATTAATCCGCCATCCACATTGTTATGTTTGTTAGAGAAGGATATTAAAGCTTTTACTCTGTAATTGGACTTGTATTCTATTAGGTACCTGATTAGTAGTACAGCGAAGTAAAACCCCCCTAAATCTTATTGAAGTTTAGCTTGTGCCCAGTGAAACAGATATATCAGTCAGCACTCTTACACACAAGATCCAAATGAATATTTCTGTAGGTTTAATCAAAAGAAGAGTTAATTCATAAATGATAAGAAATTGAATGAAGGGGTTACAAGTAAACTTAAATAAAAACAAGAGACAAGAACTTTAAAGTAAATACAGACCTGGGTAACATAATTGCCATACTGGTCTTGAGCAAGTAGATAAGCTGAATCCAATATCTCATCCACTATACACTGGCTTTGCCCTTCGTCACAGCAATGCTCCAAAACTCTCTATTGAAAAATCGAACAGCTAATGTTTTTGGTCAAATAAATTTTGATTAATACCATCGGCAACATGCAAGGCATAGGAACAAAAAACGCACCTGGATAACACGACAGCCATAGGGATGAGTTGAAAGAGTGGCCACTTGACCACGAAATGCTGATATGATGAACCCAATTCTTTCAGTTGGTACACATTCGATACACTTCTGTATTACGTGGTTTCCATTTTGGTCTCGTACACATCTCATAACATGTCCATCTAGCTCTTGAACAAGTATCGTTTTTTGGTCAAGCTCAATAACCTCGAGTGCCTAAAAACAACCACTGAGAATAAGCACTGCAGTCCACAACATAAAACAAGCACACGAATTCAATCCTATATTGAGCATGACAATTTCAGTAAAGTAAAGCGCGATCGTGTGCCAGTCAATAGCAGGTCAAAACAGGAGGATTTTGATCAGCTTCATCAAGTTTTCATGACTCTTAGGGTAGCAAACTGTACGTCATCCTTTTAAGTGTAACCATATGCAATCTCAGGTGCTTTTCTCAGGCTTCATTGTTGCAAGATCCGGCAGCCAAAAGTGAAAAGGTTAGGCCACTAGGGAGAGGCCAGAACCTAAAACTTCTGTCCGTAGGTTATACATGCTAAGGGCCAATAGCTTCATATACAGCCCCGATTTTAAATGCATATGACAATCCCTTCATATCTTTGTTTTAACCACACTGAGGATGTAAGGTCTCCCATGCTTTAGGAAGTCCAGAATAACCTTGAGGTCAACCCTAGAACAGTTCCTTAAACCACATAATAGAACACTAAAGTAACTAGATAGAAATTTCAGTTTCAAATGGGTAACCAAACCTTCTGATTTTAAATGCATATGACAATCCCTTCATATCTTTGTTTTAACCACACTGAGGATGTAAGGTCTCCCATGCTTTAGGAAGTCCAGAATAACCTTGAGGTCAACCCTAGAACAGTTCCTTAAACCACATAATAGAACACTAAAGTAACTAGATAGAAATTTCAGTTTCAAATGGGTAACCAAACCTTCTGAATCACGCGGCATCCATACATTTGCAAACTTAATTGCAACATCTGTCCAGTGAGTTGATCTGCAAGCTCCTTCCTCTGCCCGGGGCTACCATGTTCAAAGAACTGAGACACAGGCACCATAATATCACACCCAGGACAACACTTACATAAACACAATTGCAGGAGTCTCTTTGCAGACTAACACATACAACATAAAACACACACCTTTTGTATAACATAGTTCCCAAAAACATCAGTCATTAATCTCGCAGCATGAGGAAGAACTTCACTGAAAACAGCTGCCTTGTCTTCCAAACTGCAATTTTCTAGTTTCTGCTGAATGAACCGACTCCCATGTTGATCCACACTGAAACGAAAAGTACAATAAAAATTGGTTCTGTGTAGAAGTCTCATAACATGAATGCATAAGAAAGCAAACTGGATAAGAGCACTACCTGAATTCAACTATTCGTCCCACAATATCAGAAAGGTCGAATTTCCTGGCATTGCTGGATTTTAGCTCTTCCAGAAATGTATTTCTTTTAGCATCATCAAAGCCATTTACTCCTCTCTGACCTTGCCATCCAGAATATATCCCTCCATTTCTACTGGAACCCTGAGAAAATCTCAAGTCATTTCGCCGACCCAGGTGGCTCATTCCACCAATTGGAGATGATGGCAAGATTGGACTTGCAAGAGGTGAGCCTGGAAACTGTGATATTGCAACAACGCTTCTGGGGCTTCCATAGTAATTGCTGCTTCTAGGACTTGGAATGTTCAAACTCCCATTAGCTTGAAACTCTAGCTTCTGATCTGCTATATGCGTAGCAAAGGCTACGTCATTTTGAGATGCAAATGAATCCATAGAACCCCCAACACCACCTCTAGACAAATGACCAAAGTGCGATGGAGCACCGTAAGCATCTTCAATAGGATGATGAAAATAAGACATTTGGAGAGGATCCACAAAGGGTGGTTGAAATGTCAAACCATATTGTCCATACATCTTGTTCATATGCGGTGCATCGCCCACATTTGAGATTCCTTGTCCAGTAGACACCCCACTTGTTCGACCATTTAAGGCTGGAGCCGACATGGAAAAGCCACTATGCGGAGAGAATGTAGCCATATATGGAGGAAGAACTGCAGAACCCAGAGCATACCCACCCATATTATACTGTGGAGCAAACATACCTGGCATCTGAAGATTAGGATAAAATGTATTGGAATTAATATAGGATGCTGCCGTATATAACGGAGGTGCGAGCCCAGGTGAGTGCATCGTTGACTGTGCCTCAACAAGAGCGGACCTAGGGTGCCCAAAAGCAAATCTCTCCATCCGGCCCTGTGGATGTTGATAATTCCCCTGTCCATGAACAACTGGACCACGATGCTGAGCGCCATTTAGTATGGATGCAGGCTGCAAAGGAGTGCTCCTCCTATAGGCATGTTCTTCTGCGTTCTTAACATTACTCTCATCCGCTCCAGAAATATCCAACCCATTAATGGACGCCTCATTTCCTACATTTATTTCTTTATTCGCCCTTGCATCTTCATGTATAGTCGATAATTTCTCTCCAACATTTGGTGAACTTGCAAAAGGAGTATGTAAAGTCTCACCGTTGGATATCAACCCAATATCCTGTGCATTCAGTTTAGAAGTCTCAGCATTTACATCAATGGAGCCTGAATTCGATTTTGATGCTTCGGTAATATTAATAGAAGAAACATCCAGTGCAATTCCATGGACATCACGATCTATTGATTGCTCGTTCACATGGCTCAACGAACGAGTCTGATTATAGACAGGAGAAGGCGTGCGAGGGAAATCTTCCTACATATTAGCAAAAGGAATGTAGTGTTAAGAGTAAGACCCAAGAGAATTACATTCGGTTTAATTCAGGAGTCTAGTAAGGCTTCTTGCATAATTAGAAGTGCACTGGACATCTAAATCTGCTAGCGAGCTGTAGCAAATTCAGTAGAGTGGTTTAGCCAAATGTGAAAGCAAAAACAAGTGGAAGCTTGAGCATTAAGAAACTGATTTTGAAGATGTATCCTAGCAATACTTTTGCAGCTCCAGTCGTTCTAGCCTTTTCATATCCTTCTAGTAGTTCCAATTCATATATTTACAAGTTTCTTTTAACTTCACCTGATACTTAAAACAAGAAATCAGGGAAATTTATTTCCACAGAGGAAAGTTAAGTCGCTCGTCGGTTACATATAGGACATTGATTTTACTAATCACCACTAAACATTAGAATACCACTTGATGACAACAATTTTGTATCAACATCTACAGCAACAAAAAGCACCAATGTTGATAACAAGAAGAGCTAAGGGAGCTCTCAGTCACTAAAAGAATGGTTAAACAACCACCATAGAGCCAACGGCTCTGGATGCAATATTTTCACTGAATGCATAAAAGAAACATTCTGCTTTCTCTGGCTTGATAAATGGTAGAGTTAATGACAAGCGTCATGCGCCCATTACGATTACAATAAAAGAACATATAGATTACCCCAGTGAATGCTAACTAGGATGACTCCACTGAATTAAGATTGGTGCAAATCCAATCTCAGTAGCGGCTTCATAGAGGAACATCAGTTTATAACCCTGACATAGGCAACTGAAAAGGACAATGAGAGTTCAAAAGAACTCTCCAAATTTCCAACTTTGGAAAACATTAAAAGGAGGATGTAAACCTAACTAATTTTCTACTTATAACCAAAAAAAAAAAAACGACATTTTCTTGAGCCAAATCTTGTGAATAAACAAAAATATCTGCTGCACAGATGTACCTAAGGTCAGGTTCCCTGAGAGAAGGCATAAAACCAGTGCCTTTTTACTCCCACTTCAAGATCCTATTAGTATTAGAAGGCTCTGGATGGTACTACTTGGACGCTCAATCCTTGGTTGAGCTAGAATATACCCATTAAGGTGCACTTACCTGGACTAGACACTCCATTTACAAGAACTTGACTTGAAAGGTCTTTTTTCTACACAGAATGGTATCAATAAGAAAGATTTCCCTTTGGAGAAGATAAGAAAGTGACTGACTCAAAAGGACATCCCAAGCATCAGCTTTTCAGTTCCCTTCGCTTAATCATTGTACTGTAAAGTAAAGAGAATTCAAAAAATAATAAAGGCTTCCTTCCACAGCTTGCCAGACTAATCAAAAGATACAGACGAAATAAACTGAGAGATTCCCAAAATTTGGCTGCTTATATATGGCTCATGAATCAAGAAACGATACGATGCAAAACAGTAACAATTACCTGTATTAAATCAACCAGACTCTTGTGACGACCTGCTGAAGAAACCGCATTGTGTATGGGCATATGAATACTACTTTCTATCCCGAATTCAATATTTTGTGAGAGTGATTTTTCATCTTCAGGCTCCTCATTATGAGTAAACAGGGAAACTCTAGGCAGATGCAAAGATTCATTGCCGCTGTCATCAAAGGAAGTTAATCTCCGACTATTTCCAAGGCCACCAATATGGCTTACCAGGCGCAGGTTTTCCCTTGAAATGAGAGGTGGAGGGAGCCTCGGGTTAAGATTAACATGGGAGCAATAGTAAGCAACATATGCCGGGTCAGAGCGTAATTTTTCCTCAATCTCAGAATCTTCAATGGTGCTGCCAAGATTGGCCAAAGTCTCGTCCATGTTTACATTGTTTCGGGCCAAAAGATTAGCAATTGCTGCAAATGAACCCTCCATACTAGGTGGTGCACTACCACTTCGATTAGGCACAGTTCCCGTCTCGCTTCCGTGTACTCTATGCCCGCGTAAAATAGAACCTAACTCCTCCGCTGCCGTGGTCTTCAATGGAGGTCTGAAAGTCGCATGATCCCTAGAAGAAGGGCAATTTCTAGCCCCACCATTTTCCACCATCCTAATAGGGATTTCAGTAGCCATTTTTCTATAAAAAGGAATTATAATGACTTCCGCATTTTCAAGATCACATCTACGCAAGGCACTGTAGTTCCAAATCCGGGTTCAGTTTTCTAATGTGACAAACCAAAAGTAGTACAGCAATCCGACAGACTCAACACGCACAGCGTCAAGGTGTTGGGTACCGCCCGTCCAAACCTGATATCAAGAAAGAACTCCGTTATTGAATCGTGACGATAGTATCATGACGTTGAGAATTAGGCCAAAACTGGCAACCTGCTTAACCATCAGAATTCCCATCCCAAAAAAAAAATGAATTTTGTATAAACTGCATTGCTGATAGCATATGACAAGGTCGACTTTTCTTTCGCGAAACGGGGTCAAGTAATTCGGCATAACAGAACCACGCTCTCGACAGGTTCACACACGGAAACCGGAAATATCCAGTCTTTGGATGCAAAACTCGAGCCGCAGCCGATCAAAAAAAATCAGCTCCTTCTACCTCCTCGGCCTTTGGAAATCGAAACCCCGAGAAGAGGGACGAGCACACAGGGAACCGGCAGAAAGCCACGGCGCCTCGCAACGTTTCCCCACCGGAACCAAGCTCCGGAGGGACTCCCACCGCGACAGGGTATCAAGACTCACCGAACCCCGAGCCATCTCAGCAGAATCGAAGGGGCAATCGCGACTAGACCAAGAAGGCCACCGACCTAAAACCCCGCGCGCGCGCGCGCACAAAAAAAAAAAAAAAAAACCGCCCGCGGACAAAACACCAAAGCAAACAACAAGCACAAAACAAACCTGCCGGAGAACAGGGCCACGGCAGAGGAGCCGGTCGAGGCCCCCCGCGAGGGGGGGGAGGGTCCTTTCCCGCGCGAATCGACCGAGACGCAAAGCGGGCCGCCTCTCGAAGGAACGAGAAGAAGCTCCGACCGGTTGGGGGGGGTGGCGAATCGGAAATGGGGGCGAGGTCCGTACCTGCGGGAGAAACCCTAGCGCGCGATGGAAGAGAAGGGGCTTCTTCTTCTTCTTCTTCTTCTTCTTCTTATGGAGGGGTGATCGCGACGAGGAGGAGGACGACGAAGAAGGGGACGCGAGCTCCTTAGCTTGGAAGTTCCCCGAAGAGTCCTGGCAAAAACACTGCGCAGAAGAGAGAGAGAGAGAGAGAGAGAGAGGAGAGAGGAGAGAGACCGCGATGTCGATGATGTTGTTTTTTTTTCTTTTCTTTTCCTTTTCTTTCTTTCTTTCTTTTCTTTTTTATTTTTTCCTCGCGGGGGTTCGAAGAAACAGATGTGGCTTCCGAAAACCACCGCGCGCTGTAACCCCACTCCCTCCCACGAGGGGCGTTTCTTCGAGCCCGATTTTCTCCTTCGGTCCCCCGAAAACTTGTGATTTCGCCGCCGGCCCCTCGTGCGGGACCCCCCCCCCCCCCTGCCCTTTTTTTACCCATCTCTAGACGGCCCAAAGCTTGTTCAAGGAGAGTGATGTCCGGCGTATCAAGACCGACCCGTAACGTGGCGCGTGTCGAATTTGGATTGAGCCATGGCGCTCCTGGGTCGTTTTTAAATGCGCGATCTGCCCCGCTTTATTTAGAGCAGTCGCAATATGTTTCAGTACCGTTACCGTTTGTGACGTCGTGGGTTTCGTACGAAAGGAAAATTCCGTGTCGAGCTGAAACCTTTATAGCATTCCTCATCTCTCCCTTCTTTTTCTCGTGTGCTAATTCGAAAGGATTCGCATGAGCTCATTCGCTTTTGCACCGTGGACGAGTACTATACGTAACAAGTCTACGTGAAGAGGCGGACGTCAGTTTCTCCTCCGAGAGGCCGGTAAAATTGACAAATTAAGAAATGGTGAGTGGCCAAGTGAATTTCGTTCGACGTAACTTTGCAACACGAGGCGCGTAATTCAGCGGCTGGAACCTCAACGGGTTGAACTTCCTTTACCGACGAAGCCATGGAGACAACTTGAGCAGTAGTAGATTTGAGAAAAAAGGATAGGAGGGAGTCCATTCTATCAGAAGAGGACGAGATGGAGCAGTTTTTATAGTTGCAGGGACCAAACTGCAATTTCCTCCTTTTTCGTGCCCCTCCTGATGAAAACGCCTCTTGACGTACACGAGAGAATGGATAAAACAGAAAATTTTATCGGAAACAAAAGAACAAAAAAAAAAGACGGAAAAAGGAAAAAGGAGGGGTCGATAAAGACGGCGTGAAATGACGGCGTTGCCATCGGCCGTGCACTTTTTCGGGGCCCGAGCGACACAGCAGCAGGGCACTGGGGCTTTGGATATTTCCGCGCGGCGGGGGCAATTCCGTAAATACGCCAAACCAGCATGGACATTTTTGGGAACGCGGGACAACCCCCTTGTTGGCTTCTGGGACACGCGTCGGCCTCCCGGTTTCCGGAGAAATAGGCGACGTGCTGACACGTGGAATCTCCCCCACGTGCGAGCTGGCGAAAATTCGTCCGCACCGAGAAAATGCAAGGAAAATGACCAAATGCGAATAAAAATTAAATTTATTTAATAGATAATTACACGAATTACATGTGCCTTTTTTCCTTGTTTTTTTTGTCGCCAAGGTTGCCCGCCCCCACAGTAGGTCACGTGAGATTCATCGCATGATCGATCACCCAAACTTCCAAATTGGCATGTACCTGAAGATGTCCCTTTCCTTCTATTATTAACAAAATCTAAGTAATTTCGTGCCAACGTACCGAGAATTTGATCGCCCAATTCTACGAATAATCGAAGAAACAAGAAACCATTTCTTTTCCCCCCCGAGCATTCAAAGCCTTTTTATGACGGCGGCGTTCGAGAAGCTTCCGTGAATACGGTGGCTCGTGACTTCTTCCCGAATAGTCACGGCGCCTGCGAGAGAAGAGAACGAGCAAATGCCGAGAGTGGTGTTAAGTCGATCATGCATTTCGTGCTCCCGTTGCATTTGACAGTCGTCTTCCTCTCTTACCCATTTTTTGTATGGTTTTGCCGTATTAACTTGGCGAGAGATGCGTTCAGCACCCGATGAGTAATATACGCATGGATTCGACCGAAACGCAATCCTAAATTGGACATTGATTTCGTAATATTTGATCATAACGACCGGTGAACCAAATCGAGCGATTGATCACACGGTATTTCACGTATCTTACGTGACGCCGTCGCCACCGGGCAAGCGGCCTAGTGCAATTCGCGGGTGGGGGTTTGGCCGGACACGACGATTACTTGGAATCGAATCCCGGACAAATCGTAAAAAAAGAAAAAAAGAAGCAAAAGTAACGACTCATTGAGCAATTAATATTACCAGCCCCAAAAAAAGAGAATCAGATTAGTTTAATCATGGCTGCATGATATTAAGGATTAATTAAATCGATTTGGCGTACAAAGCAATGGAGACGTGCGAATTAAGCTAAAGGGGAAACACCTCCATCGCCATTGGCCCCAGCAGCTTGCGCAAGTCAACTCTCCCCGGGATGTGGCTGATCGTCCCCTCTTTCCTCGGAATCAACGGCGGACGTTGCAGGAGGAAGCCGACATGTCGCCTTCAATCCCGGACGAGCAAAGCGCCTGGGAGGAGCAGCGCCGAATTGTAGATTAACTGTGGATAGATGATTTGGTTTTGTTATTAGTTTCTTTGCTCGAGCTATAAGCTGATGCAATATAAAAAGCCGAAGCAATCGGTACTACGGTGTATGGATTCGAATCGTCGCATTTTGCGCATTCTTTTGGGGGCATCCAGTGAAGATGGCCATCATCCTAACTACCCATCGGGCTCGAACCCAGTTGGGTCGGGTCGGGTCGGGCCCGAAAGGTGAAATGATCGAGCAGAGGCGAGCAATTCCCAACTTGGACACCTCCCTCGTGTCTGATAATCCATTTTAGTTAGAACATTTGATGATCTTTTAACCGTGGACGACGGGTCTTGATAAGGATTTTTAGGCCCGGCGATAGACTCGGCCCGCTCATCGATCGTGTCGGGAACTCGTTCCTCGACGATCCGGAAATGAAGGGACAGGAGAACTGCCGCACCGATGGACGACAAGCCGGGTCCCGACTGCCGTTGAAAATCTCATTGACATCCCAAAATAACCAAGAAAGTCTGATGCAATACAGATGAAATGCTCAAGCTAAAGAGTTCCAGATTTCTGAATAAGCATTGCACGCTCTGGTGCAGAAATGAGTTTACCTCAAATCAATCTGACACTTGCAGATTCTTTAGAGCTCTTACGTTTGGCTGCCAAAGAATATGTAATATGTTACAGTTACACGTGCATATCCACACCTTCGATAGCAAGAACCGGTATGAGCCTTTTAGTTCTGTAAATTTTGGGTGTAAGTAAACATGGCTAATAACCTAACCAAGCCGACGGGATCGGTTGGAACCTATTCTTGGCGCACGACAATACGTCGTAGTAGTCCACGTGATTGAAGCAGTCGCGGAAATCGGTGAACAGCTTCTCGAACACTCTCCACTGGACCTTGATCGATCTCGAATAAGGGTATGGAAGAAAAACCTGCACCCAGCGTTGGATGAGTCTCAAGTGGGCACAAGGAAGAGCGCATTCGACATTTCATAAGCATTACCGCGTCTGTTCCTTGTCGGAAAGACTACTTCAGGAAGGAAAAGATTCCCGAGTTTCGAGAGAACTTGTGTTCCCATCAGGAAGTAATCCATCGTTATTAAATGCAAGATACTATGATCACAGTTCAGGTACTCATGAGGCACTTGGAAAAGAGCACAATTTTCTTTGCTTCCAATGCAATTGCCAGAATGGAATTCTACTAACTTCATTTTGAAGCAAATCACACTGGACACCATGTTATTCATCATCAACGTTATATTCAGCAGATCATTTCATACGACATAGCAAGAAGCCCTCAGTATATTTGGCACGCTTCTTAAAGTGAAAGCAGTTCAGAGTCGGATCTTGGATAATTGACAAGTGATAAGCAACCTAAGAAAGCTATTACACACTCTGAAGACATCTTAACTTGGAATTAATTACCAATAGATGCCAGTAAACATCAGTCAATATGTTTATACGTGCTTGCCGACTGCAATCAAAACTTCCCTCGCATGAACTCTAAATGGACTCCTTGAATGCCATGGGTGTACCCTTCCCTATAACCCCGTACTCACCGAGAAAAGCAAAGCATACGTACACATGCCCAGTCGACAATTATGCAAACGAGAATGCGCATTACCAGGCAAAAGAATAGTTGTCCAGCAGTAACTCACATCAGCTTCTTGAGCGAGACGTTTTAGCAAGAGAAAGGTGTGCTCATTTTCCTCTAAATTGTCAAGAACAGCAATCCAAATCTGTGAAGCAAGCTCATTTGCCACGTCTCTTGACTTTCCACAAGCTATGAACTGATCTGCTAATAGGGGAACTTTCAAGGTCAGGCGCCTACCAGAAAGAATGAGATAGAAATATCACTTCCAGCAACAGATGCATCTCATGCACACACCACTATCCTTTAAAATATAGATAGGGCCAAACTTGATATTCAGCACATAAGCCATGCTCTATTAGTCCTTTTTTCTAGATAGTAAGTTTTTGTTTACCATCAAACTTTGCAGAATACTAGCATCAAATATATTATCAAAGATGATCGATGTCACTGGAAGGCTTATCTTATGTAATCCAATAGCTAACCTGACCACATTAGCCTCACCAGAAAGAGGACCTGGAGTAAAAAAATGCCATACCAATCATTGTTCCATGAAGAACACCAGAAGGAGGTGGCATTGTTGAAAGTTCAAGCTGCTCTTTCAAAAATAGATAAGCATGGCCCACTATTTCATCCATATCTCCATCAAGAGAAAAAATCTGTTTACTAATATACAAAGCCGCATATCTCCTGAGATCATTGGGCAGTATGTTAAAACATGACTATGCTTGCAAATTGAATTTTCTCTTCAAAAACAGCTAAGTTAAGACGAACACTCAGGAATCACGAGATTTGGTGTGAGGAGTCTGAACAAGCTTACATGGGTAGCCTATTTTCTTATCAGAGTGCATGTTGGAAAGTACACTATGAACCGTGAAATATTGCTAGCACACCAACTATGTAACTAAAAAGACATTTCACCTTTTCAGCACGATTATTGAAGTCGAAGGAGATGGGATGCATTGACCAAAAGGATAAGTACTATAAAGCTGTTCAAAAAGGTGCATACATATCCATAACAAGACAGTCATAAGTATGTGGGCAATTAGAAAAAGGCGAGAAGTGCTACAAAGAATAGTCTATTTAATAATACTTTGAGCATGTATTCACGTGGCGTTAGACTCCTGCAAATTGTCATGCATGTTTCAACAAGAAGAATACTTCAATGCTTAACCCCAATATATTCTTGCAGCATGCATTTATCTATTCTTGCCGGAAAAGTTCAGAAATATTACAAAAAAGGTTCTCTGACAGTGTATCTAAAGTCGAGCTGCGAATGTCGTGGAAATCACATATTTTGTTTCACTCATCGTTTGGGCGATTCTAATTTTTAAAAGGCAGAAAAAAAAAGAAAGTAATCAACTGAACCCTCTCCCTCCCTCCCTCCCTCCCTACAAAAAAGGTTCTCTGACAGTGTATCTAAAGTTGAGCTGCGAATGTCGTGGAAATCACATATTTTGTTTCACTCATCGTTTGGGCGATTCTAATTTTTAAAAGGCAGAAAAAAAAAAGAAAGTAATCAACTGAACCCTCTCCCTCCCTCCCTCCCTCCCCCTCTCTCTGTATAAATTTACATCCCACGCTTGTCTTTTCCTTTTCTAGTGTATGTGTGCGCACGCAGAAGTGTGTTAGGGGGTTAGGTAAAAACAGAAAAGGAAACTTTACCGTCTGCTCAACCCTCGCGGAATTGGACCTGGCCACCGTTTTGCTTGGCTAGCCAAAGGATAAGACTTCACAAGAGCAGCTTGCCACAAACATTCCCCACGGAATAGGTTTGCCCAATGCTTTCTAACACAAGATATCTGTGCCCACTCTGTGACAGGGACCCTGACGAAAATTTCTATCAAGAGATGGTCAGGAAGCTTCCCAATAAAGTTATCCACCGAGACTAAACCATCATCGTCGCTGCCATTTGTCATTGATATTCTGAAATAAGATTTAAGGGATCAAAATCAGCAAAAAACCATAAGTGACTTCCTAGTACTATTCGCACAAATTGAACTAGAGAAAAAGATAACTGGCCAGCAGGGAGTTTCGAGAAAAATTATCACAGATGTTGGGACGAATGATGGAAAAGATGATTTTCAAATGGGCTGTGTAAGTGACAATTTGGACAACAGGGATCGAATATGAAGAGAAGGAAAAAATTCAAAGGATAGTAGCAGGGTCACTTCATAAAGTTAACTAAGGCATCTAATCCAAGAGACTTACTTTGCGAGTAGCAACCGCATCGAAATGAAACCTTCTAGTTTCAATCCATAACATTCTTCTCTTTATGCTCACATACGACACAATGTGCATGTACAATCACCAAGTCGGGCACGGGCATTAACACACACAGAGATCACATGAAGCAACATGCATAGGCATCTACCAAAGTGAAAAATTTCAACTCGGCAAGTTCTGAAAGACAAAGCCCCAGTTGAACGCATACAATATACTTCAGCACCTAAAGATCTACTGAGGGGTTGAGGAATGAACGAATGGTCAGTGAACAGAGAGGATGAGCTGCCACAAAAGAAAAAAAACGTGTAAAGATACGGGAATGGACATCTGTTACTTCAGAGATGGAATTGATGATGAAGTCTGGGGAAAGAAATTCCAGCAAGAAATGCAAGAACATTAGAGCCGACAAAGGCATGCAGATGATGATGTCTTCATTCGATCATAGTGGATAATTCAGACAGCCCAACCATTTTGAAGGCAAGAAGAGCAAGCAAAAAAACCGCAAAAGATGATCAAAGCAGTCTCATCCTCAGCAATCGACGGGGGAAAAGAACCAGTCTGGTAATCCACTCCACTTTGTCATCCAGTGCCATTGAGGAACAGGCCAACAGTCCCAGTCGACTCCAACAGTACCGAAAGAAATGACAAACGAAACAAAACCGAGCTTCAGGTCGTATGATCGTACAAGAAATGAACCGACCCCAAAGTCCCAAAGCCCACGAGCATCAGAGTCTCGAATCACGTTATCCAGCGATTACTCCCAACGAAAGAAGAAAAGCGAAAAGAGAAACGAAAGACATGGAAAGGGGAGTAGGGAGTCAAGCTCGATCAGGGCAAGCCCCGCTGCCAACGGGACAGATCAAGAACACCCGAAACCAAGAAGAACCCATCATTCTCAAAGCCCAGGGGATCCCCCGGATTCGAGCTGAAGCTCCCAAGAAAAGAGCAGCTCCAAAACGACCGCTGCACGCTACTGCTCCAAACGAAAACAGCAACCCACCTGAAGAAGATGAGGAGGAAGAAGATGGAAGAAGCGGGTGGCGAGCGCGGGGGAGCGTTGCTGTCGGCTCCGAGTTCAAGAAGCGCGGGTGGAGAGAGAGACGGGCGGCAGGCCGAGGGCGGCGGGTCGAGAAGGCTCCGGCGGAGGTTACGGCGGTGGTGGGCCGGTCGGGCGCGTCGTGGTCTCCTGAGTATTTCAGTACGGCGTGCGTAGTTGCGTAGGATGTCTGTTTTTTCGTGGCTGGGACTTTCATGGGCCGAGGACGACTCTGCAATGGTGTTCGCCTGGGATTCCTTTTGCCATCCCAAAAGGGGGGCCCGCCTCTCTATCTTCTGGCCTCCTCTCTCTTACACACGTTTTGTGTTTTTTTTTTTTTTTGGTGCGGTGGAGATTTAATTTTTTTTTAAGCTCATGGTAATCGCGAAGTTAATTAGAGATAAGACGGCGCGGGAGGAGGTGTAAGCAGGTTTATTGGTGGAAATGTACTCGAACGGGTTGGAGCTGATAGAATACAAAAGGGTCACGATCTTAAGAGCCGTGAAACCGAGTCATAAATTAGGAGCGATCGATTTTGGGGTGGGTCGATTCCTACCCTGGGATCTGGAAGCGGACCGGACAATGTCGGGTTTTCTGTTTGTGGAATCGAGAACCGGCCCACCCGGTTCGTTTTCAGAGTCGATCCTGAAACCGGTGACTTCTTCTCCTTCTTCTCTTTGTTTCTTCTATTTTTACAAATGAGAGTTTTCCAACACCGAAAGAAAAAAATATCTACTAACTAGGGTTTGCCTTGGAAGAAAAGATAAAAAAAGAGTTAAGACATTTTGGTCGGCCTGTCGATCAAGTCGATCTGATTCTATATGTAGAATCGGGAATGGGATTGTTAAGGCATGTTTCATTACTAGGAATAAAAGCATAAGGAATGGGAATGACGTCCCGTTTTCCTTTCTCAAGGGTATTTGGTAGTTTGCAATAAACAGTGACGAAATATGAATATTCAAAGAAAAAGTGCTTTATCTATATTTTGGTATAAGCTATTTGTTAAATTGAATCCGGTTAATTTAAACCTTCGTCTTTCAAATAAAATGAAAGGTAAATCCGTAACTCGCATTATATATTAGTGTAATATATAGAGAGACTATCACCATAAAAAAAAATTATCGACTTTCTTCATCGTAAGATATAGGGAGACTCTGCATATGGTCACAACATTAACGTGATATCGAGAGAAATACGCTAAAAATCCTCCGAGGAAACACTCAATAAGAAGAGCCACTAATAAAATAATAAAAAATTCAATAACTGTTAATTTGCAACTGCAAGACTCATCAACATTGATGGATTTTTTTTTAAATTTATTTATTTATTTAGCGGCCGTAGTTTGTATTTATGCGGGTGAGGAACGAGAAAGCAGACAAAGGACGAGGTTGCTAATTATTAGCAAAAAGTTAAAAAAAAATATATATATATATTAAAAAATAATAATAATAACGAAAAAAGAAAATCAACCATCGACAACATGCCACCGCGTCGTCATCATCATCATCAACATAACGACGAGGATCTCTGCAGCAGAGCCAGCGAGCGAGCTTCCTGCAGTTCACACTCGCTATTTCCCGTGAGCTAAAAGTCACTTGCCTTTTCCTTGAATCTCATCAGTTCGTTTCGTCCATCTGGGTCGCCTTCGGATTGCCCAGAAAGCTTCACGCCCCGCTGCGGTTCTTCCTGCGAGGCCGAGAATGCCGCCCGCCTACGGATCTCGTCTCACCACGTTCGAGGACTCCGAGAAGGAGAGCGAGTACGGATACGTCCGAAAGGTTCGGCCTTTTCCCCGTCGCCGGTTCCTCCGCTGCTGCTCCCCAGATGGGATTCCTTCCTTCTGGGTCGATGCTCCTTCGTTTGGTGTCTGTTTTTGGGTTGACGGGGACGTGGGTCGACCCGTGCTCGATCTCATTCTATGTTTTGTGATCTTGCGAGTACGGATATGTCCGAAAGGTTCGGCCTTTTCTCCGTCTCCGGTTCCTCCGTTGTCGCTCCCCAGGGGGGATTCCTTCCTTCTGTTTCGAAGCTCCTTCATTTGGTATCCGTTTTTGGGTTGACGGGGACGTGGGATGACCCGTGCTCGATCTCTTTCCGTGTTTTGTGATCTTGCGTTCTGGGTTGGTAAGTTATCTTTTTAGCGTATCCGATTGTGTGGTGAGGAGTCGACTTTTTGACTTGGTCAGTAGCTCTGGCTCAGTTGGACTGCATTCAGCGCGCCTACCTTGGATGGAGCGCGCTTTTGGGTGAAGTATAATTCAAGATTTGTCTGTTTGATAGTACTGAGAGGTAGATGTGATGATAGTCTGATGCACAGGAAGAATAATGTTGCCTCGTTCTATCTCCCGTTAACTGGGATTGTAAGGATCTTTCCTCGAACCGAATGGGACGGATTTGCTGCAATTAAAGAAGGCGGCAAACTTTCTGTCTGCCTGCCTCACTTTGTATTTGCTATGTGCTTTGAGTTGCACCCTTCAGTCGGTACTCAAAGAACTATTACATCTCAGGTATCGGGTCCTGTGGTGGTGGCCGATGGCATGGCTGGGGCGGCCATGTATGAGTTAGTTCGTGTCGGTCATGATAATCTCATTGGTGAAATCATTCGTCTGGAGGGAGATTCTGCGACTATCCAAGGTTCATCCTCCTTCCCTAACTCATTTACCATCAGATGTTACATTTGTGTGTGCCTTGAGCACTTATGTGTCTGTGTGTATGGAGCAGTTTTGATGGAGATAAATTGTTTCATGTAATTTCAGTTTATGAAGAAACAGCTGGTTTGATGGTCAATGACCCTGTTCTGAGGACGCATAAGGTGATTCACTGTCTCATTTGTCATCCTTTGCTTTTGTTAGTACATATTATTGTCCATTTGTAAATGACAATGTCATGTACATTTACAGCCTCTGTCAGTGGAATTGGGTCCTGGAATCTTGGGAAACATTTTTGACGGAATTCAGGTCTACCCTGATGCCTTTCTATTAGTTGTGGCTTACCAGTCTTTGTTTCGTGGCTCTTAAACGTGCTGTCACAATTTTAGAGACCCTTGAAAACTATTGCCAAAAGATCTGGTGACGTCTATATTCCTCGTGGTGTATCTGTTCCCGCATTAGACAAAGACATACTCTGGGAGTTTCAGCCTAAAAAAATCGGTAACTTTTAAATCCAATTGATATTGTTTCCACTGATAGACTGACCCGGTATGGATGTTCATTCATCGATCCACTTGCAATTGTTGGATGCAGGTGAAGGTGATCTTTTAACCGGAGGAGACCTATATGCTGTAAGTTTGTTCATTTAGTATGTTTGCGGAAGTTAGTACCTTATTAGGGTCCAGACTACTTTCATTTGCTTTTCGTTCTGCTTTAATCAAGTTTCCATGTGGGTATGTGTTATGGCAGAATGTCTTCGAGAATAGTTTAATGCAACATCATGTTGCTCTGCCTCCTGACTCCATGGGAAAAATCACTTACATTGCACCGCCTGGTCAATATTCATTGAAGGTTGGTCCGCTTCTTGTTAATACTTCGCCTGGCCGCTGAGGTTGTAGCTATAACTGGTTTTAAATCTTCAGTTCTTAAATTCAGTGTTGAAACACCAAGGCGCTTGGGATTTTTGTTGCATATGTTTAATATTTTAAAGATGCATGATGATATGTCATATTATCTTGGTCTTTTGATGATCTTCATATGTACTTGTGGGCATGCTTGTATATTATTTGACTGTTCACTTGATGAACAATTCGCTGATAAGGGATTCTATGTACCAACTTTTGATTGCTATATTCTTATCCTGTTCTGTTGTTGAATGAAGCACGATCTGCAGCAACCTTGGACTTCTGGATATTTTGTTCTAAGATGACACAGAAGTGACCATGAGAAATCTTGTTGATCAAAACTTATTCCCATTGACGTCCTATAGATGCAAATCTCTGTATTTCAATTTGTCATTGACAGTTTTTCAAAGTTTACTCTCTTTCCAACAAAAAATCCATTGCCATTACCTAATTAAAGAATTTCATTGCTGTTATATGGACCTTTGTCCTCTATAGGCAGCTCATGATTGTTGAACTCATCAGTAAAAGTATCCATGCGCAATCGTGGGGTGATTTCTTGATCTGTTTGTAATTGCAGGATACAGTGCTAGAACTTGAGTTCCAAGGTGTCAAAAAGCAATTCACCATGCTACAGGTTTCAACTTTTGTTTCATGGATGCATTTTGCATCTGCCTTTGTTGAGACCTTGATTACTTCTTAAATCTTGAGCCATCTTCTGTAAACCTTTTCAGACTTGGCCAGTTCGTACACCTAGACCAGTTGCATCAAAGCTGGCTGCTGATACTCCTTTGCTTACTGGTCAGGTAATGACTATGCAAAAAAATAACTCCAAAGTACTTTCATTATTGCTTTTGTTTGTAAAAGTTTAGTGAATGAAGCTTTTTCTCATGACAGCGTGTGCTTGATGCACTTTTTCCTTCTGTTCTTGGTGGGACTTGTGCCATTCCTGGAGCATTTGGCTGTGGGAAAACTGTGATTAGTCAAGCTCTTTCAAAGGTACTTGCTACCATCAGTTTGAGGTTGATTAGGCATCTTCCCCATATATCAATGATACTCCCATAGAAGTTTTTCTTTTTATTCCCATATATAAGTTAATTAAAATGCTGGATTTTGTCTTATTTGCAGTATTCTAACTCTGAAGCTGTGGTATATGTTGGTTGTGGAGAACGTGGAAATGAAATGGCAGAGGTATGTGCATGTTGAGATTGATCATTTCATATTTTGCTTATTGTCTGCTGGAGATAACATATTTAAGTCCCATATTTTAGGTTCTTATGGATTTTCCTCAACTAACAATGACATTGCCTGATGGTCGCGAAGAATCTGTCATGAAGCGTACTACACTGGTAGCCAATACATCTAATATGCCAGTGGCAGCTCGCGAGGCGTCAATTTATACTGGTATAGTCTATCTCTGCTAGTTTATTTTGGTTCATCGTGTGGCTATAAGGTGTCTACTGGTTGAGGTTCTTGTCTGCATTGGTATATTGATACTACGGAATAAGGGATGACAGCTTATCAATTTGGATCAGTTGGGAGGAGCGACAAGAACGACTTGAGAACAATATACTTTTATCTTGTGTTGAATCTATGTGTATTTTCCCATTGTCTTAATCGGGCAGTCATTTTTAAGAGAAGGGATTGGAAACTTGACAAGGACATGGGAGCACTGTTTGACTTTGGTATTTCTATCAGGTATTACTATTGCCGAATACTTCAGGGATATGGGCTACAATGTCAGCATGATGGCAGATTCAACATCTCGTTGGGCAGAAGCACTGCGTGAAATCTCTGGACGGCTGGTAAGTTGCTCTCAGTATATCTTTGTGCCTGACAGCCTCTGCAAAATCGTTTTCCCATATCCCGTGCTATTTGTGCTGGATTCAATTGTGTTTTCTTCCATAATTTGTTGTCGCGTAAATCAGAAATGAAAATCTCTTGTGCATGGAATTCTCATTCCTGAAATCCTACAGGCTGAAATGCCTGCCGATAGCGGGTATCCTGCTTATCTAGCGGCACGTTTAGCATCCTTTTATGAACGAGCTGGGAAGGTGAAATGTTTGGGTGGGCCAGAGCGGACAGGCAGTGTCACTATTGTTGGAGCCGTTTCTCCTCCTGGAGGAGATTTTTCAGATCCCGTAACATCTGCAACCCTTAGCATTGTCCAGGTACTTCTTTAACTTATTTTTGGAACTTTGAGCCATGCAGATGTCATGTGTAGCGATCAGTGTTAAATCACATGTGAAAATAATTATCTTTAGATATTTTGGAAAAGCAGCACGAGATAGGAATGTGTTGGTTATAAACTCTTCAACTTTTGAAGCTTTATGTTTACTTTTTGGGTCGATTGGTTAAGTCTCCTATCTTGCTTGACAAGCAGCTTAGGCTATGATCTACAGATTATCCATTATGACACACGAAAGCAAAGTTGGGCAGTTTAGAACATTAAATCTTTCCAGTCTCCATTCGCATGCATCTTTACTTTATCCTTAGTAAAAGCTTATCTGCATAGCCTTAATATAATTTGTATTCTCGTAATTCTCAGGTCTTCTGGGGTCTGGATAAGAAACTTGCCCAGAGAAAACATTTTCCTTCTGTGAATTGGCTCATTTCTTACTCAAAGTATTCAACGGTGAGCTCCAAACTGGGCATACATATGTGCAAGGCTTATAAGTTCTTTCGTGAAATACCTTAAGCTGTCCTCAAATGAAAAAAATACACCACGAGCGCCGTTTTCAAGCATATTCAACTTAGACCCTTTATTTATGCTACGCAGGCATTGGAATCATTCTACGAGCAATTTGATCCAGATTTTATCAACATCAGGACAAAGGCTCGTGAGGTGCTTCAGAGAGAAGATGATTTGAACGAAATTGTGCAGGTATGTTCTTTTTTGATGATTACAACCGACTCTATTCACATGCATCATGTACAGTATTCCTTGTTAGCATATCGCCTGACATTTGAAGCAACTGTTGGTATGGATATTTGGCTTTCTTTTTTACTGCAGCTCGTGGGCAAAGATGCTTTAGCAGAAGCAGATAAAATTACACTGGAAACTGCGAAGCTCTTGAGGGAAGATTATCTTGCTCAGAATGCTTTTACTCCGTAAGTACAAGATTACATTGCTCGCCATTGGTGGAGCTTGCATATTGTATCATTTTCATATTACATCCTCTGGTGGTCTTTTCTGAGAGGAACATTGTTCTCCATGAAATTTGACAGATATGATAAATTTTGCCCCTTTTACAAGTCCGTTTGGATGATGCGCAATATCATCCATTTCTATAATCTGGCCAACCAGGTAGAGTTTTTTCTTCCAACATTTTGCGTGCTCTCTCAGGCTGTTAGCACGCTTCTTGATCTTATGTTTCGTCTCCTTTTCCCTTTTGGGAGGATAGACATGTTGCATGTAGTTGATTTCTCATATATCTATGTTTGTTTTGCTTTTCAAAATAATCAGAATAAGCAGTGAACACTGAACAGCACTTTTAAATCGGTAATAAATTTAGCTTGGCGTGTGCTAGTTAGAGTATTTGTGAGAGTGCAAGATCACCCTCTCTATGGTTTTGATGACCAAATTCAATATATGTTGGATCACTTGTGAAAATCACAGTTTTGGATATGCTTTCTTAACTTTGTCAAAAGAGATGTAAAATTCACTGGGAACTTGCAAGTTTCATATGTATCTGTTCAGACCAATTTAAGTGGAATTGTGTGGGGATTCCTCTGTGAGAGTTTGAGACTCGATCGTTTATGCAGGCTGTGGAGAGAGCTGCTGGTATGGATGGTCAGAAGATAACTTACACCCTCATCAAGCATCGGCTGGGAGATCTCTTCTACCGTTTGGTGTAAGTACACTAATTGCACTAATGAGAAAGAGAACTTAGATGGGCTCATTGGATCTTCTAATTTGGTGGTTTACATATGTAGGTCCCAGAAATTTGAGGATCCAGCTGAAGGAGAAGAAGCTCTGGTTGCAAAATTCAAGAAGCTTCATGAGGATCTAACTGCTGGTTTCCGCAATCTAGAGGATGAAACACGCTGAGCCAAAAGTTCAATGCTGAAGATTTTCATCGATCATCAGGCCAATGGTTCTGGCGGCTGCGCTGATGAAGCTCACTTGCCCCTCTTGGTTCTGCATCAGAATCAAGAGTGTCCATAGATAAAGATTGCCAGCCCCAGCCTTAGGCTATCATTTTTATTATGGTCGGATGTACACAATAAGATGCAAGCCATTCTGTCTCTTCTGGGACATCTGGTGAGAAAAAGATGCTGAATGGTCTGTGCTTATTTAATGTGGTTTGACCAATGTTTCCTTGTGTTTACGAAAGATAATAGGTTTGGTGTGAGCTTGAGACGAGGCTTAACAGATATGGAAAGCAGTGGTGTTCTTAATAAATATGGGGAATGTCTCTTGTCTTGTGTTTCTAACTGAACCTTCCATGAACCATTTGTATCTATAATCTCGGTTTGCCGATAAGAAGGTAAGGACATAATCCAGACGATTCTCAGGAAAACAGAGAAAAGCGCGAGAAACTTTGTAAGAAAGGCAAATCAAGCATCGGCTGCTTCCTAATCCAAGGTTCAGTGTGTTGGCATCGTTACTTGTATCTTCCTCGCTGTACATCTAAGTTTCATAGAAAGAATACCCTTAAATCTGTGAGTGCTAATTGAGTTCTTATCAATGTTTTATGAATGCAAGAGATTTTCTCGGATCATTATGGTTCTGGTGATGCGTAACCCATTAAAGTTTTTACAATTTCGACGGCTTCAAATAAACTTTCTTGAGAATCACCGGTATTTAATCCTAATCATTTCCGACACAAAACTCAAAAGAAAGCCAAAAAAGGATAAACTGAGTTTCAAGAGTTAATCGCAATTACCTATCAGTAAGAAATTAAGAAAAAGAAGCAGGAAAAGGTTTCACAGCTGCTCCCTCACACATTGCCAAACTACACCAAGGTTCAACAATGACATAATGCACAGAAAGTTGTGAAATCTCAGTAACATACATGACATTTGATCTGGCAACAACCTTCCTGCTCATGGAACCGATCCTCAGTTTATCCCGGGCCAACTTTCGGGATGTCGTAGTGTTCGCTCATGTTGGCGAGGTACTGGTTGAAATCCTGTATCCTGTCGCGGTGAGATTTGTTAGCCGTCTTCGCCAGTCTCTTGACATCGATCTGCTCCCTCTGCTCTATGTATCGCCTTTCGGCAGCTGTCAGCTGATGGTCGTAGGGAGCAGCCTTGCCTTCCTCACCCAACTTGCTCTCATCATTTATATCCTCCTCTTCATTAGGTTCGTTCGACAGCCCCGCACCATCGCCTACGCAAGTAAGTAGCCAAAAATCTCAGATATCAGATAGACTCGCGCCACGAGAGTGTTCTGGGTATCGGAACATATAGAGTCAGGCAGATAAATCACCCAAAACATTCATTCACCATCGATTTCTTGGCATAGTAAAACTGATTTCAAACAATAAAGCTGAAACAGGAAGTAGCCTCAAACCCGTATAAGAATGTCCAACTGCCCATCACACATCGCATTAGTTTCGACAAATGCGTAAACTTTGCTACAGCAATATACAGGAAGAGAAATGGCAGCTAACCCCAACACGACCAGTTTGCGCATCGCGCAAGAAATCATCTCGGGACGGCGATAAAGATTGCCGGCGGGAAATCAAGCCGACTAAAGCTCTAATTCAAACGAAATTAACTACTCTTACGCGGCGGCGGTTCAGGCCGGACCGCTGCCAAATCCAATAAAAAAAAAAGAAAAAGAGAGAGAACCGCAGGAGTTTGGGAAATCAGAGTAACAGACCGGCGGAGAGCTCGGATTCGATGACCTCGGAGACGGGGGGGTCCTGCTGCTGCTGCTGCTGCTGCTGCTTCTTCTTCTTCTTCTTCACCCCTCCGGCCTTCACGTCCAAGGCCTTCCCTTTCAGCTTCAGCTTCCCTCCGACGACATTCTCGTAACCCGACATCTCCCGCCGCCCCCCTGTCGTTTAACGAGAAAAATAATCCGAACGTTGCCCAAACAACAGCAACAACAACAGCAAGATCGAATCTTCGAACGGGTAAACGAGCAAATCCAGTTCCGACCAGACGCCCTCCCCCTCACAGATCAAAAGTTCACAACCGATTCCTTGATCGGAGGGAGACGGAAATCGAGGCCACCCACGACGACGACGACGACGACGACAGGAGGATCAGCAAACGAGGGATGAAGGACGAACGAGCATATGCGCTACCTCGTACCGGTGTAAAAATCAACGGCACGTGAACCCTAGAACCATACCTGAAACGACCGGGACACCTGAATTTCCCCCTCTGCTTTTACGTCTCTCTCTCTCTCTCTCGCGTGTAAAATTTGCAGAGGCTCCGATGGGTCATGAGGCGGGTCCAGGTGGATCGGTTCGTTGGCCCATTTTATTATGGGCCTCGTGAATTCGAGCGTCTCAAATATTTTTTTTTTTTGGGGATAAATGCAATAGACGTTTTAAAAGTCGCGACGAAAGTGCAATTGAGACCTAATTTTTTTAGAAAGTGCAATCAAGTCCTAAAATTGATGACGAAAGTGCAATCGACTCCTAAAACTTTCAAAGAGTGCAGTCACGTTATAAAACTTGTCAAATTGGTATAGTTAAGTCATTCTATTGATTGTACTTGTTAACAGTTTTAGGACTCGATTGCACTTTCGTCGCAAGTTTGAGGACTTCCGGTGCATTTATACTTTATTTTTTATGACAAAAAAAATAATTTCTTTTGGGCAACATTATTTTCGTATCAATGTGTTTAGTGTACTAATAATTTTCGTGACCAATTTCGTCTACTTAGTAAAAGCGGAGTGGATTTAGTCATATATGAGGTGGTAGTAGCCCCACCATTTCTGTTTTGGTCAATGAGTGTCTTAACAAATTTACTTCGCAAGAATTTAATCCCTCAAACCGTGTGTGTATATAAATAAGTAAAGGTAAAATATAGGTGTTATCGTATTGAAGATTGATTTACAATCTCTCTCTGTCTCCGGTATATTTAATCTCCGATAAGCGGCTGCCGTATGCACTCCTCTGGTCCAATTTACGACTCGCGCTTCACGTTTAAGATCAAAATCGTATCCGGTTTCCGATCAATGAAAGTTCGAACTTCCGAGTAGATTTCTCTATCCAGTTCAAACTTTTGGGAGAGACGAAAGTCCTAGAGCTTTTTTCTGTGAGGAACGAACGAGAGATGCAAGCAGAAATAGACGACTGCTGCGTCTGAAAAACCTTCGATATTAACTCCACCATGCAATTTCCATGTCAAAATCAACATACAAGCAGAAATAGACGACTGCGTCTGAAAACCTTAATGTTCAAGGCAACTGGTTCAAACTAAAGCTACAGTTACCGAGTGCCCATACTCCATGTTCGATACAAGGTCATTCGGGACCATAGAGTAGTCAAAGATAAACGCAATGTTAATTGCTGCTGCATGTAAGAAAACTCGGAAAGTAACTCTACTGCCGGCGTCTCCTATAAAATTCAAGTACAGGGACATGTTCCAAAGTACATGAGAATGAGCCAAAGCCAATCCAGGGGAGCTCCTTTCGCCAGCCATATCTCCCCATACATGACTTCTCGCTGAACCTCAATAAATACCAGGAATAATTTGGTTCGGTACCTTCTCACAATATAACTTCCAGTACTTGCCGTACCTGTAACAAAAACATTATCAGAAGAAGCTGCTCACTCTGCTTCACTGAGAAAGGCAGCGAGTAATGGTAAAATCGGACGATGCACAAGGACGAGACTGGGGACTTATTGTTCGCTTTCCAAAAGTTCGTAGCTACTAGAAATAGTTGTGGACCTTCATAAGCACAATTGTGGGAACACATGAGACAATTGGGGCCAATCACGAAGATTGTCTATTAACATGGTGTACATGCTCACGCGTTCTATTGGTAAAATCATGACGAAGATAAACATGTTAAAGATATAGGACCAAAAGTCACCCCACCCCCGATTTCACATTAGCACGGTACTCTTCCTCATTCTAGATTACTGCATGTTTCAGCATCAGGAAAGTCGCTCCAACGAAGATACAGCTCATTTAATGATGCAAAGGGTCTGAAGATTGGTTTCTATTCTGTCAAGACCCCTAGAGCATGGGGTTTGTCCTAAATCACAAAGTATGCAGAGAAACCAAAATGTATAAAAGCTGATTGAGAGACATTGCTTCCATTTAATATGTCCTCAAGAATGACCAAGAGAAATATGTAGATGATTTACTTACTTTGATCGACAACGATCGTCGTCCCTTTTTGCCCGGTCAAACAATAGGATTGTGAGAAAGATCACATAAAAGTAAGGCAGAAACTGCAGGAGATTAACGAGGGGAAAAAAGGTAAGTAGGACTTTCACCGAGACTGTCATCATGAAATCACAACCTAAGAGTAAATGAAACAGTTAAAACGAAGTTTACATGATTAAACAGTGCAGGGACAGTCCAGAAAAAGGCTCCAAGAATCTCGGGCACATAATGAAAGTGACGTGATAAGCCCCACCTGTGGAAGGAATGAGTGAGAGACCACATCATAGACCATTCAATCAGTTGTAAGCAGAAGCATGTATATCACCATGTAGATCCATTGAACCCATAACTTAACCGATGACTACATTTTATACCATTTACCCAATGGTCTATCGGCAAATTCGTTATGTTCTAGGAAAGATGTAAGCAGCTCACCTCGAAAAGCAGAAAGAACTACTTCTCTCGAAAAGCAAATATATGCAGTAAACCTAATAACGGAGTTAACGATAGGACTCTTATAGTAGCTTTTTAAAATCTTCATGCTGACGATACAGAAGAATTAAAAGGCAAACTGACCATCCTGAAGTCAAGAGGAGGCTGTTTTTGGTCTCTCCGGATGTGGTCGTGTACGTAGCCACTATCTGTCAAAGAGATCAAAGCTCTCAGTTCCAGTTGACAGATTGTACCCAATTGAAAGCATAAGAAAACATTAAAACGATATTAGTGGTAAGCACCTTCGATGGAGCCTTCCCCCATACCAAGCACTTGCCATTTGTTCTGCGAAATTCTTGCCTCTGTCTGTCGCAATCATAATTGATATATATGCACAGAATGCCTGCTGCCAAAATATAAAGTGCGAGCTGGACAACAAGGACTGTCAGACTCACCTAATATAAAAGAAGATACATTTGTCCTCTCAAGCCTGTGTTTAGGCCTATTGGACTTACGTGACGGAAAATTAAAATTTCCAACGAAAGATAATTGTAATAATCATCTGATAGCAAATGGTCTGTAACTTTCATTATTGCCTCTCCTTTCAGATACGCCAGTTAATGAGTTGAACACAGATTAGACTGCCCCAAGTTTATCCCAAGATAATTGTGCTCATGCTAATTTATATCAACACCAGTTTTTCATAGGAAACAATTGGAGCCTTCAAATTTAAATTTATCAGTGTGTGCATGCCACAAAAAATCTTCCAGCCCTATTCCAGATTTTGTCGTTAGCATATATTGACCCAATCAACCAAATTGTACACCACTGATATGGGACTATCACTTCAAATCAAGCAAGGGGTTCCACTAAACAAAAAGCCAGAGAAGCCAAAAAATCTCTGCAACCATACTGATTGAAACTAAGAGCACATTTGAAGACCTTGCTAAGAAAACCATGGTTTGATGGTTCACACACACGTGTTTCCGAGAATCAACTGTAAGGAACAAACTCCTGTTTAGATGTTAAAGCCCTTCCAATCAACGTTTGAATTTCCCGTAAAAAAATTAACATTAATTTGAAAAACTATTTAAAATATTCGGTGCCTTTAAATGCTAATGTTTCATATGTCTTTAAAAAATTTGGGTTCTTCATCTAAAAAATGTCACACTTTTTAACTTTTAACGTAAAGTCAAAAGTGAAAAGCCAAACCAAATTGCCGACTTAATCTAAACACCAGACCAATAATTACAGTAAATTTCTGTCCCTTTGCACGCCTTCATAATAACATAAAGTCCACTAAATGGTAAAAATAATTAAAGTGGCAATTCCGCACCTGAGTTCCCAGGTTAACAGGATGATTGACAAGGTACATGCCAGGAGAAGTATAGATGGATGGGACCCATACCAAGCATCCCCAACAGATATAGAAGCCAGCTGCCAAAGTCATTTTGAAAATAAAGTTGAACATCAGTAAAAAATGGAAGGCGTTAAAATTATGATTGGTGTTCTACATCTGCCCAAGCAATAAGAGTGCACAAACAAAGTGCCAAGTGGCTAATTCACTAGTAATTAGACCAAGAATGAAATACTGTATATGCTAGTGTCTCGTCTCTTGATGATAGGATCTTTTTTTTGGTCAGACTTGATGATTGGATTTCAGTTGCTTATTTTGAATGATTGAATGGACAAACAGATATCAGCATGTAAAACAGAATGAATAACTCAAATGTCAACCTCGATCGTGTGCGATATCCATTGTGTTCCAATATCCTACTTCCCACCAAAAGAACTTGGTGACGTACACTAGCATCAATATGGTGTTCACGAGCATTGCATCAGCAACTTTTCCGTTCTGTTCATACTGTAAACATGTATGTAAGATTATTAGCATGATTATTAGCAGATGATGCAAAGAAATCATCAACCTCCACTCCCAGAAGAAAGAGATTAGTCTAACAGGAATCAGAATTGATGACATCACTTAACACTTGCAAAAGCTATTTCCGCTCTTTAAAGTGACAAACTCTGAGACTATGTTCTAAGCGCTGGTCCAGAAATTTTTTTTCTGAGAACCATAGTAAAAATAAAAGGTAGGCATCTTAAGAAAACAAAATTGGTGTTTCAATTGTTTTCACCCTTTGTTCTATTTCTTTAATAGGATCATTCCAAGATATCATCCATTAGATGGTTGTCAGAAATTAAGCTTCAATTATATGTTCTTCAAAAACTCTACATGCATCGTTCATTGCCAAATGGAGTATTGTAATACAGAGATCATTGGTATCAATATATTCTTGCCAAGTCACCAAAAAAAGTCTTGGTTACCTGCTTTATGCAATAGGTTAGAGCAAGAACTGCCCAAGACATCATTCCGAACCTGCAATTTGTGAAAACTTTAATATCAAAGTTCTGGCCAATCCGAGGATAGAGCTCCATACCCTGCAACAAGGTCAAAATGTCACTGAAAACAGAAAGCTGCTTCCAGGAAAAAGCAGCAAGAAGCAAAGCCGTAAAGCCATTCTTGCTATTTCACTCAAAAGATACATTTGGCTCAATATTATGAAAAAAAAAATGCACATGTACATATACCTCAAACTACACCATATTAGATTATTTAGTATTATGAAGCCAAATTTGAAGTATTTTTTGCGCATAGACATTTGTCATCTATTATGTCAAAAGAAGGTATCATTTTTGAAGACCGCTCATCGTAGAAAATAATCAGCATCATCTCCAGGTCAAATAAATATCTGCGAAATGATTTGTACAACTGTAATCAATTAGCATCCTCAAAACTAGTTATATGTGCATTTCCACATATGTCAGAAAAGAGGATCTAGAATTGCCTCAAGATGGACAGATGAACACATCGAACAGGAGTAAAACGGTGAAATCTTTTCAAGGAAACCTACAACAGATAAGTTTGTGAGGCTTAATTTCACACAAAACCCAACAATACGGTTCAGAAAATTCTGTTTTAGCTTTCAGACATCGTGACGTGTCAAAAAATCAGAAAAAATCATCTGGCTTTTTCTAAAATTGCCACATTTTGACATCAGAACAACTAACTTGAGCTTTTCCACATGTAGTTCAGCAAAAAACACTAAACTTTTCTCAAAAAAGACTCACCCAATAGAAGTCGATTATTATATTCCCCGTAGAACCAGAGTCGGTAGACGATGGTGCCAGGTGACCCTTCAATACAAGAAAATGTGTCAAACATCAGACATTATTTTGAACTTTCCCAAGGGAAATAGATGTCAACTTTTCTTTGGGGGTTGCATTCTCACTTTAATGTACAAGAAAATACAAAAGATGAAGCTTCCAAGAATGAGTGCGGAGTATATTTCGCCCAAGTGATCATAAACAATCGTGGGGTTAAAAATCCCAAACCTGAAAGAATAACATGGAAAATGATAAGTTAATCTAAACGTTATTTGATGACGACATCAAACAACACAAGAAACCAAACAATAATTATACTATGAATGAAACACGGCAAAAAGAATTCCACAGCATAGCATAAAATCTGTAACAGAAAGCCTTAAAAAGCCGGGCAAACTACTTAGATTCTTCCAAATACCTAAAAGCATGATAGCCAGAGAATTAGTCCTCCGCGAGAGGGCATTTAGTGCAAGAATCAAAGATGAAGAGGACGTCCTGCTGATAGTGAATAAGGTCACATTCAGACTATAGAAATAGATCCAAGTAGTCATATGCTCAGACTGAGAAAGCGACTCAAGAACTGCAGAAAGCATAGGAAAGATGAAGACAGTTTTGATACCATGTCACTTATTTTACACATCAGATTGTCAGTAGGATATGTCCAGCACCCAATAAACCACTTGAGACAAAATAGGAAAGCTCATTGTATCCTAGAAGGGGAAAATGATATGTTGGTAGATACTGTGAATTGAAACCTTTCCACAAAATTACTAATGTATGGATGAGCTAATTATTGACTAAAACTGGCTCTCTACAATATAAATCGGTTGAAAAGTGCTCCCCTGCGCTGCCCTGCCCGAAATTCAATAATTAGAAAGTACGAAGACCTCTTATGGAATTTTGAAAAATAGAAAAGAAACAGTACAGAATGTTATAAGTACATTGATTTCTTGAACTAAACCCACGTTGCATCTGAAGTACATAAAATTATGTTTTATCGAAAAGTACTCACCACCAAAGGCCAAGATAGGTGATCAAGGTCACAAAATACGCTGCCATTCCATTTGCCTGCAAGAACCAATCGTTTAAGTCAACATTGTCCATGCGTCCATCCCATGCGAAGAGAGAAGACAACTCGTAGTCAAATGGTCCACAAGGTGTGCCACTAAGGGTATGTCAACAAGAAAAAGAGTACCTTATACACTGGCTGATTCCCCGCCGGAGATATAGGGCCCTTGACAGTCTTTCCAGGAAGAAGGAGCTGCAGCGCCGCCTCAAATGCAGCATAAACGAAGATGATCTTCCAAGCGACGGCAGTTGGCCTGGGCCATATGTCTAGGAATCCTTGCAGTCCATGCTGCCTCAGGTAATCAAAAGTCTGGGTGATGGACCCATCAGCATGCACCATTGTGTACCATCTGCGAGGATAAAATTCCACTCAGATAGTCGCAGTATGTTTTTGCATAGAAAAAATTCCGTATATTACGACAGAGCAAAGTCTATGACTTCTTTCCATCTGAGCTAGTCAACCGCTAATGCATCAAATCTTTCTTGCAACTCCAAATGAAGGGTATGAAGGGTACGGACTTAAATCAAGTATCTGACGGACTAAAATCTCAAATGCCGAGGAGATAATCAAGTGGGACCTCGGACAGTCCGACAGAGAGATTGGCATTGTCTAAGGAACAAGGCTCGGTGTTCGATGCTGCGAGGGAATTAAAAAACCAACCAACTCGACTGGAATCTAGGTTAGATGGACGTTCATTCCATGTGGAGATCGGAATCGTGAAACGCTACGCAATCGAGAACGTCGCGGCGGCAAAAACCAGCACGTGCAGCGAGATCTGGGACTGGGGAGCGTTCGCCACCGCTGCTAATCCTCGCTCCACTCGAGAAAGAACCAGAAAACATGCGGATCCTCGAAATCAACCAAAACGGCTGGATTTCCGGCAAAAAAAAACAGAGAGCGCGACAGTTCCTCGGACAGAGAGAGAGAGAGAGAGAGAGGGTCTTACAGCAAGATGACGAAGGGAGGGCAGAGGGTGAGGAGCGACAGCATGGAGAAGTAGGTGAGGAGCGGCGAGTGCACGGTCTTCGCTTCCGCCATCTCCTCCTTCCTCGGCTCCGCCTCTCTCTGCGTAGAGCGAACTCGATCGACGAGAGAGAGATAGAGAAAGAGAGAGAGAGAGAGAGAGAGTGAGAGTGAGAGAGAGAAGTGGTTTGCTTTAGGGGTGTAAATGGTCGGGTCGGGTTGGGCTTTCATGATACCCTACCTGACCCAAAACTAACAGGGTCGTGCTTGACCCGCCCAGACCCGGCCCAAGACTCTCTTCAGCATATACCCCAAGGATCGGGTCTGGCTGGTCCGGTCCGGGTCGGATTTCGGGTTTGATCAGCATATACCCCAAGGTCATGTCAGCGGAGGCCTAGACCTCCCGCCTCCGCCGCCCCGATCTCCGCCGCAGCAGCCGCCGTGCGATCGATCTCTTCGATTTCGACAACAACCTGACGCTGCCCGTCCGCGATCCGATCGCTGCTGCCGATCAAACTGGAGCCCCGAGCGGCGACGTCGCTTCCGATCCCTACTCCGACGATATGCTTCGGAAGCTCGACGGCGGGAGCGGCTCTGGTGTGGATATGTTCGCCGAGCGTCTCAGTTCGTGGGGGACGCGGATTCGGTGTCGGAAGAGGTAAATAGGTTGGATTTTGGGGTCATTGATGGGGATGATGACGTCTGTATGAATAATGGGGATGTAGATTTACGGATCGGGTTAGGGTCCGAAGCCCCCGTGCCGCGAAGCAGTAGTCCATCGGCCGCGGTGCGTGCGGTCATTCTGGCGATACCAATCTTTATTCTTAGATGTTCAGGGTGTCGGGCTCGGAGTTCGTAGCCAGTGAGGACTTCGTCCGGTGACGCAGCACCTGCAGCTCCCGGTGCAGCTCGCCGAAGTTGGAGGACGCGGACGTCCCATCGTCGCCGGGCCACGAGGCGAAGGCGGAGGCGGAGGCGGAGGCAGAGGCGGCGGCGGCGATGACGGCAGCGGATGACCGAGATTGGAGTGGCATGGTGGGGGGCCGCGTGGTGGGCCGCGATTGCTAGCGCCGTGAGCTTCGATGGTTAGGCTGCGCATGACAACTTGCCAAACAGTGTTTGATTCTGTTCTTTTGTTCCCAGAATCAGTTTGGGAACAGAAATGCGTTTGTTTAATTTTTTGATTCTGGGCACAATTTTGTCAAAAATTGTTCCCGGAATCGATTTTGGAAGCGAGAATCAAGAATAAAAAAAAGTAGCTTGATTGGGAACAATTTTGAGAATCAATTTTTTTTTCTTCTTCCTTTTCTTGGTTTTTAATTTAGCTTCTAATGTCCGGCCCGAGGACCGCCCTCGCCGGATCTAACGAGAATAAAATATTTTAATAAAAAATATTTTAACGGCCATGGCCAGTGACCAGGCCATGGCCATAAAAAAGCAAAATGTATATTTTTAATAAAAAAATTTATTAATAAAAAAAATATTTTACAGGCCATGACCGGCGATCAGGCCATGGCCAAAAAAAGAAAAAAATATATTTTTAATAAAAATATTTTAATAAAAAAAATATTTTACGAGCCATGGCCGGCGACCAGGCCTTGGCCAAAAAAAATAAAAATATTTTAATAAAAAATATTATTAATAAAAAAAATACTTTATCGGCCATGGCCGGCGACCAGGCCATGGCCCAAAAAAATAAAAATGTATATTTTTAATAAAAAAATTTATTAATAAAAAAAATATTTTTAGGCCATGGCCGGCGATCAGGCCATGGCCAAAAAAAAGAAAAAAATATATTTTTAATAAAAATATTTTAATAAAAAAAATATTTTACGAGCCATGGCCGGCGACCAGGCCATGGCCAAAAAAAATAAAAATATTTTAATAAAAAAATATTATTAATAAAAAAATTATTTTACCGGCCATGGCCGGCAACCAGACCATGGCCAAAAAAATAAAAATATATTAATAAAAAATATTATTAATAAAAAAAATATTTTACCGGTCATGGCCGGCGACCAGGCCATGGCAAAAAAAAAAGAAAAAAATACTTTTAATAAAAATATTATTAATAAAAAAATATTTTACCGGTCATGGCCAGCGAGCAGGCTATGGCCAAGAAGGAGGAAAAGAAAAAAAGAAAAGAAAAAAAAGAAAGAAATATTAAAATATTTAAAAATATTATTAATAAAAAGAAATTTTGTAGCGTTACCAAACGCATTTCTGTTCTTTTTCTATTCCAGGGATGGAATTTTGGGCCGTTAAACAAACGCCTTAAAATGCTCAGAATCAATTCCGGGCACAGAATCTGTTCCCGGGCACAGAATCGTTGTCATGCGCAGCCTTAATGTTCTTAGGGTTTCGTCGTGTAGAGACAGAGAGGAGAGAGAAGGGGAAAGAGAGGGGGATTTGTGGGTGGTACCAAGGTGTCATGGGTCGGGCCTGACCCTAACCCAACTCTAATAATACCCACAACTAAAAAGCCCTATTCGTAAAAGACAAGCCCCAACCCCAGAATAACCCAAATTTTAGGGTCGGGCCGGGCCGGCGCGGGTCGAGCCGGGCCGGCACGGGTCGAGCCGGGCCGGCGCGGGCTTTTTGGACACTCCTAGTTTGCTTGACTTGCTAGAGTGGACTTCGCCGGAGCGATGCGGAGAAGTTCCGGCGGCGGAGACCAGCAGACGACTGCGAAGCAACTGATGACGACGGCGACACGGCGACCGAGAGAGAATGTTATTTCTCATTGTGCCCGCCGGCCGCGTAGATCTCACCAAATTAATATAAAGAAGTCATGCCGTGCCATGTGGTGCAGTCAAGCAGTTTGCTCGGATATTTTTCCCATTTCCCTTTGTATTTGGATTTTTATTTGGTTGGACTTAAGTGGCGACCCACGTGACCGCCACCACGTGACCCCGTCGTCCCGTCCCGTCGGGGGGCTTCTATGGTATCTTGACGCATCGATCCCGATCCCCTTTGGCTGTAACTAGGGGTGAGCAAGATGGAACTCTCTCGGGATCGGACCGGACCGGATCGACTGATTTGGTCTAGTTCTCGATTCCTAAAAGTGGAATCGGTTTTTGGATGGTCCGGTTCCCGGTTATAGGGTGGAAACCGGACCGAATCGGATTGGACCGATAAATATATATATTTTTCTAATTTTTTCATATATATTTATTTACTTTTAAAATTTTTTGAAAAAAATAGAAAGCCTTATATAATTTTCCTAATTCCCTCTTACCTTTACCAATAAGTGATTGGTCCTATTGAAATCGGACCGGACCGGACCATCGGTCCGGTCTAACTCACAGTCCCAAAACTAGCCGATCCATCCTCGGTCCTAGAAACTGGGAACCGGTCCTCTCAGCTCGGTTCCCCTTTTTTGGATTGGACCTGACCGGACTGGGAACCGCTCACCCCTAGCTGTAACTCAGTCATAATCCCGTGCATTTTCGAGTTTCCGTATAAAGCGTCTTTCCATATAAAAAAGAAGTCTCGAAAAATTGTATCGATCAACAGCTGAGGATGTATCGTTCCGTGATCTGGTGGCTGATGGATTGTCTAGATGATTGAAGTAGCCCAGGGATTTGTTTCCTAATTTTTCCACTTGCGAGGAAAAGAAAAATTGTTTTGATTGACGCCATATGGAAATGTGGCATGTAATAAGAATAAAGCGGAAAATAAAGTTGTGAAATTCTTTATATATTGATAAATTATATGTAGCCCTATTTATAGGCTTCATACTTATAGGATAGCCATATATAGTAACATAATATTACAATAGAAATCACAATTAATCAGAAATACAAAATTACGATACGAGAGACATGTAGAATCAGACAATATATTTTTAACATTCCCCTCAAACTCAATGTGACATAGAAGAAGTTAATTAGGGTTGGGAGAAAAGATTTTGAAAATGCGCGACGGATGTGCCTTAGTGAATACACCGGCAATTTGATTAACTAACGAAGTGGAAACGAGATGAATGGTGCCATGAAGCATGTGAGAGCATATGAAACAGCAGTATATTGCAATATGCTTGGCACACTCATGAAAAATATCATTATGTGTTATTTGGATAGAACTCCAATTGTCGCAATAAAGTACCGTTCCATCATTATGACGGAGACACCATGTCCTCTAATAACCATTGTAATCATAATAATTATGCTATCGTACCATGTTGAGCTCGATATTCTGTTTCTGTATTAGATCGAGCGACAATAATCTGTTTCCTTCTACACCACGAGATAAGTGAGTTACGTAAAAAGAAGCAGTAGCCGGTAGTGGAGCGAAGGTCTCTAGCCCAGTCAACATCAGAATAAGAGTCTCATATTTGTCATTGAATTTGGCATTAGCCTCAATGGTCTTGTTATCAATGAGCCTTACTCGAGAAAGAAGATGAGTGGTATATTTAGCTCGATAAAGATAATAGCCCGGCAAATTTGAAGTAACCTCCAAGCCTAGAAATAATTGAGTTGCTGGAGATCTTTCATTTCAAACTGTTGACCAAGATATCGCTGGAGTTTTGTAATGCCAGTATGATTATTGTTAGTGATAACCAAACTATGTCGTCTACATTTAAAAGTAGCAAAACATATCCACGAGATGTTTGTTGAACAAAGAGAGCATTGTCATAAGGGCTGGATTTAATCCAAGGTTCGAGGCCTGTGGAAGAAGCAACAGTAGAATATTAATTAAAATCACGAAGCCGAATAGAAGGTTCACTTACACGAGTAGAACGATGAACATGAGAAGAATGTATCACTAAGGGTGGAGATCCCACGAATGGCGTAGACATGTCAGGAGTTACTGAAATGGTATCGCCAGATGTACCTACATCAAAATTAGAAGAAAACAACTATGAAGAGGAAGATGCAAGTGTGTCATCTCTAGAATTCGTGAAAAGCGAACAGTTGGAGAAGACTTAAAAAGACTGAGAGATAAAAACATCATGTTTTCCCAAAAAGTAATATGAGGAGACACTCGTGGACGATTAGAGCAAGGTCCAAAACCGGCACTATTTTCTAAAGATGACAAGCACTGCCAAAGACTCAAAGAAGATTGTAATTTGGAACACTGCCATACTAGTGCTTGTAAGGAGATATGTTACCTACAGTAGGTGATGGAATACGATTGATAGTGCATATAGCAATATGGAAACTACTCTATAACACTATTGT